CTGTCTGGATTCGACGTGTGGGAACGGAGAGCACATCTGCGATGGACGGTCATGCGTCAGAATACTGTCGTTTCAAAAAGAAGACCTGGTCACTTGGTTCGAAGACATCACAGAAAGGGAGAAAAGTGAAGTGCAAATAATAGCGGAATGTTACGCGAGAACCACGGTGAATATAGCGACAGCTCTCGGATTCTTCTCGAGAATGTGTGGTCTGCAGGCACTGGAGAGACTGGAATCTGAACATCATTTAGTGACGGCGTTGAGCGTAGAATCATGGCCCGGGGTGTTGCAGGTGACTCAAAAACACATCCGGAGCTGGAAGGTTGGTCTTGAGGCGGAAATGGGATTTCCCATGAGCGAAGCTTATGGCTTGCCATTGAACGCGAAATCGCTGATAGGGTCAATGATGGCCAACTTGTGCGGAAGTCACTACCCGCTACACATGGCGATGGTGGAAGTGTCCAGCCAGAGAATACTGGTGGACAAGGCCTTCTCAGTGCCCAAGTGCGTGAGGTTGGCTCGGATGTCGCTTCACTCGCACAAGTTGTTGAGAAAAATCAAAGGGACAGTACCAAAAGAATTGAGAGATGACTTAAGCGAAATCTGGGGAGAAGATCTTCTGAAGTTGGAAAGAGAAAACACAAGCGATCACGAGAGACAAAACGTGATCGGGAAACCTGTGGGAAGTACTCCGAACCTGGAAGACAACGACACGATGCACGAGAAAATGATGGAGCTTGAGCCTCTCTTGGAAGCCTCAGGGGAGCGTAATCTCAGGAGCATTGAGATCTCTCATGGGGAATGCCCATGCCACTGTTTGGCACAAACGGTGTGGTATCCAGATCACAAGAACCTTTGCCTGGTGTGGGATGTGGAAGAGATTCGGTCGATCGGACTACCGGATCACCGGCAGAAGGTGACGCTCTTAGTAGTGAGTACGATGTTAGCTCTGAGATGGATAGAAGAGAATATAACGAAGTATCGGGAGGCGACGACGCCAACGGCTGAGTCAATATACGCGATAGACTACAGCAGGAGACTCGAGTTGTTTGAGACTGCGTGCAAAGTATTCGCCATACCGACGGAAGTCAGGCACGTATGGAGTCGCTTGAGGTACTTTCCATGGTTTCGGGCGACACTGACGTCTTGGTTGTACATGACAACGAAAGATCACATGAGAAAACATCAAAAAGAGTATCGACAGTTCCAGGCCGAGATTGGGCCGGAAGCTTTCAAGAGACCCCTGCTAACCCATCGTAATGCGATCACGACAGGATGGAAAAGAGTGGGTAAGATGTCTAGAGACAATACCAAAGCGAGGGAGTCGATACTAGAGGAAGACCTGGCGAAGAACGTGAGCTTGAGCCTGCACAACTCCTTTTGCTTGAACCGAGAAGCTAGGGTGAAGGCACTACCCAACCAAGCAAAGAGGTTGCAGGAGCAGAGAGAATGGATGCGATCCTATGAACAGCTGAAGGCTTGGGAGGAGATTGTGATTAGTTCCGATGATGAAGAGGAACTGTTGAGACAGTTTGCCGCATCTAGCACTTCAGGATGCAGTACCTCCAAGGCGAAGAGTACGAGATGAATGGGCAAATCGGATGGATCTTGAGTCTTGAGAGGGAAGGGGGGCTTGAGCGTGGATCCGAGTGAAACTTGGATTCACGAAAAAGAAATTTTAACAAAGCAAATATTGTTACTAATATACTATATTTATTATATAAATCGAAATGCTGCATGACAATTTCCTGATTGAATAGGACAAAATTGAAAATGATTGGCTTGAAAAGCGAAAATTCAAGGGTGCAGGTGTATGCAGATTTTGGTTGCTGTTTAGCAATAGTGTGAAAATTTTAAATGGCTGTGAATTTTGGGGTGTAGATAAGCTTAAATCTGCTGCAAACTTCTGTAAATGACCACTGGCACTGTATCTTGAGCAACACTCGGTTTTTCTGGGACTCACTGGCAGAAGACAGCGCGCGATGAGGACATCGATCTCGAGTCCGGGGAGTATGTGCCAGTCGGTCATATTTGGAAGTTTGACCTTGAGAGGAGCAAAAAACACTTGATTTTGGAGTGAAATTTAATTTTTCAAAATTTCGAATGGAACCTGTCATGCACGATTTTCTCGCGAGAACTGAAAATCAGAAAAAGAAGTTAGAACAATTTCAGAACAATTGAGTCGCACACGCGGGAAAGTTGTAAGAAAAAGCAGTAGGAAATTGCTATTCGCAATTTCCATCACTATAATAATCGAGAGTAGAGCTGTCCCATCTGTGACAGAGACGAGAGCATTCCCTCGAATTGGATTATAGCGACTGGAGTATTATTCGGAACTGGACTAGAGTGAACCTTCGGTGGAAAGGTGGACAGCTTGAGTGTCCTAATGGTTCACAAGAAAACTATTGTCTAGAGTATAAACTCGTTCTCATTGTTAAAACTATAAAACATTAGACTCATTTAGTTACGTTATTTAATTCTTGAGTTAACTACCGACTGGATTATTTCCCATTTCTTGAGCGTGCTACTATGTGAGTACAAATTTAAATTCCTAGAGTGTGTTTTATAATTGTTATGTTGAGGTAAGGCGAGTTTTAGGTTGATCCATCTGAAATGGATCAAAGTTCCACTGTCTAATAAAAAAGCAACTTAACGGATTGTTCCAACCCGGTTTTTAACGGCGTTCATGTATTTTGGGTATCTAGAGACCTAAGTATGGGGACGTTTCTAATTCTAGAGTGGGGGGATATTTTAGTAGTAGCCTTTAAGCTGTAACGGGTCGTAGTCTCATGTCACAAACGAACCGAACTGGCTCCGACCGTTCTTGAGGTAGAAAAACACAAGAGATGGTGTCCCTGACCCTTGAGCCAGTGGTTATAGGGCCTATTTTTCTTAAGCCTCATGTGTGACTGCAGTAGACGAATGTTACAAGTAGATAAAAATCATCATCTCCATCGAAGATGAATCAACCCTTTCCCTCAACTCCTAGCTTCTCATAATCAGAAAATGAATCCAGATGTTAACTAAATTCAATTCAGGACATAACCAGGAAGCTAAAAGTTTGTATAAAATAGTTTGAGTTCAGGTCTCAAGGCCCCTTCGGATTCCTGAATCCGGGAAATAACACTCTTATTTCCTCTCCGGAAGGCTGAATTGACGGTTCTACCACACTTCACCGTTGGAGTGAATGGCTTTGTAACGATTGTAGCAACACAATCGTTACAACTCGGAGCGGTCTCTACTTATACTCTGTCGTATTTTTCTATTTCTTGTTGTTTCTCTCGCAACTATCGTTGTTGTTGTGTTCTCTTTTTTGAATTTCTTCTAAAATGGCCGTTTTCGACGTTTCTCGGAAGTGTGACGTCACAAATCGAAATTTTAAAGTTTAGAATTTCCAGAATCTTCTGGCTTTCACGATTCGTCCAATCGTCTAAATAACACCGCTAATCCTTTAAAGCTGCCAATTTTCTGGGTTAGCGGCTAGCCAACCGAAACTGTTTTTTGTCAATTCTGGTCGAATGTCACAGGATTAACATAAACACCGACTACACAGACCGTCTCATGTACCTTAGAATACTTCCTCTGTTGTTCGAGAGATGCTTGATTTTCTTCTCTTCAGTAAAATGTTTCAAGGAAAGTCCAGCGTTCCATGGAGAGAATATATTGGCATCAACGAAAATTTCAAGCAAAACAAAGCAGCGTTTTATTAAAAGAATCGTTCGTACTTCAAAAAGTTCGTCTGTCATCCAGTGAACAATAATTTTGGTGCCAAGTTATTTTTCTACATAAACGAATTGGCAGCCAAGTGAACACTTTTGGAGTAAACGTCAGGAAAGAATTATCAGACTTTTTCTGGAATTACTGTGTATCTTGTTCCGAAAAGTACAAAATACAAACTTGGAGTTTATTCGATATATAACGAAACAGACTAAAAAACTAAAACTTCCGGGGGACCTTATAAGCCCTTCCATCTATTGGAGAAACTCGTTTTTATTATAATATCCCTATTATTATTTTTATAGTTTTGCGAGATAGTTCCGGAGGATTGGTGGGCGCATACAACCTTCTTATGGCTATTTCAACAGCCTTGGTGAGGGGACATTAGTGTACAAACTCTTTAAATCAAGGGAAATTATAGTTTCATCAGAGCCCAATCGAGGTTTCTCCAAAATTTTCTGGACATTTGAGTGTTCCTTTCTATGTTAGTACCCTCAACTTTATCGAAATATTTTGCAAATGTTGTATTAAGGTGGTCATATGAGCTACCAGGTAAAGAAAGGACAAGTGGTGTGCCTCGTTTGTGCACTCTTGCTAATCCATACAGTAGCGGACTGCGCACTCGTTGATCTCGTCTTTCTTTTTCATGGCTTTTATTATTTGTGTATGTCTTTTTCAATTTTTTTTTGACAAAACTGTGAGTCAGATTCTTCCTCTCACTAAATTGATCTGCCTACAATAAATCATTTATGCTTTCATTCATACTTTCATGGTCCACTAATAGGAAAATTGTACGCTCAAAAAAATCAAAAGGTCAGAGATTATGATGGTAGCCGAAGTTTCTTCACAAGTCTTTCCTTATTTCACCTAGTCATTGGAAGTTCAATAATTTTGAATGCGTTTTTGTTTCTGACGCTAACAAAATTCAGAAGTCAGTGATTATAATGGTAGCCGTAATTTCTTCACAAGTTATTGAAATTCCAATGGCTTTTTGACTGGGTGAAGTAATGAAAGACTTGTCAAGAAACTTCGGCTAGCAATTGTAGAGGAAGGACGGCTCAGTTAAATTAACATTATGACGATGCATTTAATGCTGATTTATGACTTCATTGCTGATATATATGCATTTTTATATCGCTGGTATGGCCCTATCCAGCTTGTGCACTTACCGTAACTAAACGGAAGGGCCCCTTTTGTAATTTAGTTTTTTTTATAAACTCTAACCATCTGATTTTTGTTAGCGTCAAATACCTTTCATATGATTATGTTTGTAATTTCAGATAAAATAACCAATTTCAGTTGAACTGTGATGAACTACTAATAATATTGTAGCCAACATTGCATAATGGCTAATGTAAACGTAGAAAATATGGTGCAACCTGTGAAGCGAAAAAGCCAAAAATCTACTGTCAAAAGAGTTGGAAATACAGCTTCATCACGACTCAGACAAGATTATATTCAACTAATGAAGAACCCTGTTCCCTACATCATTGCAGCCCCTCTCCCTACAAACATTTTAGAATGGTAATTGTTGTTCCGACTTTCGAAAACAGTAAGGAATATATAAATATATGCTCGGTGTGGTTTTTTTTTATTCAGACCGATTTTCAACGGATTTTTTATCTAAGGATCGATTCCCGTATTTTGTGTTCACAGAAAAGTCGCGCTCACCACTGCTAACCTGAAAGTGTTTTGTATTCGGGAACTAAGACTTTTTTCTGGTAAACAACTTTGCTTGCATCTGTTGTAATTGAGCTTAATGGACTTTAGAACATTCGCGACTGCTTCCCACTTGACCTAAAGGTATCGCGGTTGCCTCAGTACATTAATGTATGTGGCATGAGTCCTGGCCGGACCTTGTTTTTTCAGTATGTATGAAATTATTTAAAAACTTCGGGAAAAATTGAATTATCGGACTTATGTTTTGTCGGCTTAGTTGCCCCATTGTGGAAATTCGTTGTGAGGGCAGCAGTTTTAGTCGCAGGTGCAAGTTTTTTTTATGTATTTCTGTAACTTAAAAATTAATAGCCCTGATTTTGTACATTATCTTTTTGCTCCGCGCAAAAGTTTCATTGGGCCTAAATAGTTTCGGCTTATGTTTTACTGGCTTAGTTACCTTGATTTGTGTCGCTTCATGGGCGTTTGTCTTCCAAATAGTTTGTCTTTCTTTTGTTTTGTTTTCGGATCAATGAGAGGCTTTTTGGCTCAAAGAAAGCATTGTCGGCCGCTCGTTAAAAAATTGAGGATTTATTTTATGCTGTTTGTTATGTTACATGACTATTTTTCTTGAGGTTTTTCTAAAATTTTAATTTCATTTTCTATTAACTAGTTTGTGATGCTGCGCTTGCTTTGTATCGCAATTGATGCGAAGCTCTGCTTCGCATCTGTATAAAATATCGTTATGCAGACTACTTTTCATCATTATTTTTAGGCATTACGTCGTTCAGGGTCCATCTGACAGCGTCTATTCAGGTATTAAAAAAATGAAATAATATTTGGTCTAATCAGCATATCTGGCTAGTTGCAATCTGTTTTGTTTTTTCATAGGTGGGTACTACCACGGGAAGCTAATTTTCTCGAATGACTATCCATTCAAACCTCCGTCTATCATGATGTGCACTCCGAATGGGAGGTTTAAAACAAACACCAGACTGTGTCTGTCCATCAGTGATTTTCACCCCGACACTTGGAATCCCGCTTGGTGTGTGTCCACTATTCTCATTGGTTTGCTGAGTTTCATGCTGGAAACTGCGCCGACTCTTGGTAGCCTGGAAACTTCTGATCAAACGGTAGAGCTTCAATTCGTCTTCAATGCATGTATTTATTAAAGCAATTTTTAATGTTCTTTTTGTTGCAGAAAAGGCAGTTTGCATTGCAAAGCTTGGAGTTCAACATCAGAGATCCGGTATTCCAAGAGTTATTTCCAGAACTTTTCAAGGTATGTTGAAGAAGATATTTGAACGAAGCTGACACTTAATTTTTTGAGACTCCAACAAAAAAAAAACTTTTTTCTTTCAGAAAATAGGAGATTTACTGAAGCAAAGAGAAGCAGAAATGAGTAAATCAATCGCCTCTCAAAGGTCTTTGCAGAGTTCTCGGAACTCGATGGGCAGCGGAGTGAACAGAAACAATGGTGCGGTCGCGAACGACCAGGACGGTAACTGGGGAGGGGCCTTGATGAACTTAGGGGTGCTGTTGGGATTCGCCGCTTTCTCTTTAGTTGTGAAATATATCTGCAAGTTGATTATTAACGAGCAGCTGTAGAAAACATTTATGCAATTAAAAATGTCACCTATTTAAAAATTTAGCCCTACTATGTAAACAATTCTTTTCCGCCTCTTATGAGTAGTTTGAAGTAAGCTCGATATTTAAGATTATTGAGAGTCGATGAACTTAGTTCAGTTTCTTATGTAGTTCGCGGTGATTTTTTTTCGTGTTTTTTAAGAAAAGTTCAGAAAGTTTGTTCAGGCTCAAATTTACTTTTCCGCGGTTTGACTTTTGATCTTTTGAAGTTCAGTTCATTTCCTTTGTTAAAAGGAAGGCAAACTACACTAACGAACTGCAAAAGTGTAGAGATCACGAAAAATGTGATCGACTTCTAGTTTCGAAAGTGACATTTAGTCTTCAGATTTCTCAACGAAATAAAAATTTTACTATTGATCCAGTTTTCTCAAATTGGTTAATTTAATCAAAAAAGTGCCAGTCATAAATTGTTCCAGAAATTCAAAGAGCTTTAAGGGCATCTATTTTTGAAACTCGAAAATTGTTTTTTTTCCAAAAAAACAAGTCAGTAGTTTTTTGTTTACTTGCCATCATTGCTCTTTTTCAACTGTCTGTTGGCTATATTATAAGAAAATAAAATTAGGAATTTGATGCAGAAAACATCTGTTTGTTTTGATCGGATTAACTTTTCAGATATTTTTGGATCTCAAATGAACAAAAACAATCCAGCGGACGGCATTAATAGCGAGGAGAAGCTCCTGGAATCGACTAGTGCGGTCAATGAGAAGCAATTGCGATTCTCAGAAGAGCCACAAGACCTCATAGGGAGCTATGATGACATGTATCCGGACTGGGAGGCTGATGCTGAGCCAGATTGCGAGCTAAATATCCAACTTGTTATGAGACGAACTCTACTGGCCAACAGCAAAGAGCAAGAGGACAAGCTGTCGAGTGCAGAAAAAGCCGAGTGGCTCACGGAAAGTATGAGTCATTTAAGACTGGACCGAGAGAAGATTCGGGTGATTGAGAACCTAGAATGTTTCAGTGCAAAGCTGACTCATCTATATTTACAACATAACCGAATAGAGCATATAACAGGTTTATTATGCCTGGAGAAGCTGAAGTTTCTTTGTTTGTCTCACAATAAAATAAAACAAATAGATATGGACGAACTGCCAAAGGGCATTATTGCAATTTATTTGGACGGAAATCCTTGTACTCAAAGTTCAGATTATCCTCTTAACTTAATAGCATCTCTCCCAAAATTAAAGTCGGTTGATTTTGAGTCGATTAGTGAATCGAAAAGACGAAAAGCCCTGAAGTTTGTTGACCCGAATTTGCAACTAGACACAGACGTCTCTTCTGAAGGCGAAGATACCTCGGCGGACGAAGTCAGCGAGGAAGATCCAAGCTCGCATCTTGCACAAGGCTTGGATCCCGTGAAGAAGAAAATGTTGAGCGACTTGGATTTGAAAAATGGACAAATAGACAACATAGAAGAGCTGTTATCACCAGAGCAACTGCAGGTGTGGAGAACTTCTTACCAACAAGTGCAGATTTTAAGCTCAAGCGAGGAGGAGGGTCTGAGTGATCGTGAAAATATAGTGGGAGCCAGTGCACCTGAAGCAGAAGAGTCAAACCAGGAAGCTGTAGAAGTTAACAAATCATCCCAAAAAGGAGCAAAAAAGAAGAAAACCAGGAAAAATAGAGACGATGTCAAACTAAAAACAGACAAGGAAAAGCAAAATTTGAAGAATTTGGGCATCAATCCTGCACATTTTAGGGATTTGACCGTTAAACTGTTAGGGCGGTCGAGAGCACGTCAAAATGAGGACACAGAAAAGCATAATAAGAAACTGACTAAATTGGACTCCTTCAGAGAAGAGGAAAGCGAGAGATTCGCTCAGTCGAGCAGGATTCCAGTGAGTGAGAGAATGGTCTACGACAACTTGAATCAAGTCACAGTGCAAGTGTTACCGGAGAGAAGCACAAATGCTCGCCGCTGAATGAGCCCCATAAGTTACTACAAGAGATTTATCTCAGATCATTTTAGTGTTGTGTAATATTTTGCTGTAAATATATATGTACAGAACTTGTAGATTTAGATTGTAAATAGATAAAGAGTTCAAGAGCTGAAAATATCATTCCGACGGCGAAGAGTGAAGGAACTTCGAGGGCAAGTGGCGTGCGATGGGGAAGTAGGCTTTTTCAAGTCAAATTGGCGTCTACCCAAGTCTTGTTGGTTAAGTTGTCGCTCGGTAAATGTCTCTGAATTCCTATATAACGCTTGGGATTGGGTTTCTTGACACGTTTTCCCTTTTTTCCGAAACATTTTTGCGATTTAGTTACTTTCGTCTCGATTTCTATCTGCTAGCTTTCAAGGTCATTTTTTTGTGTAGTAAATATGAAGCTCCGCCTTTCCTCGTTGTAAAACTTTTCAGAAAAATTTTCTCCGTGAATAGAAAAAACTAGTCTGATTAATTTACTTTTAAAACGAATTAACTGCGAGTATAGCAACGCGTATTTTGTTACGCTAATAACTTTTCGGCTGGAAAACCCGGTTTGTAATTAAGAGTAATGAACGTAATGAGTCCTCTTATATAGGTCTTGCTGATTTTTTTGTTTTTTTTTCAGGAAAAAGTCTTAAAGTTTGTTCACGCTCAATTGCGATTTTTTTCGGTTTGACTTGTGATTTATTTTTAAGTTCAGCGCATTTCTATTATTAAAAGGAAGGCAAAATAGTGAAGAACGTGGTCGACTTCTAATTTCGAAAATGGAAATTAATTATCAGATTTCCCAGCGAAATACAAGTTTCACGTATCGATCAAATTTTCTCAAATTGGGTTATATGTAACAATAAAGTGTCATCATAAATTGTTCTTCAAATTCAAAGAGCTTTAAGGCCATCTTTTTTCTTCGAAATTCAAAAGGTGAAGATTTTTGAAAAAACAAGTCGCTGTTTTTTCATTTTCCTTGCTTTCATTACTCCTGTCCAACTGTCAATTGGCTATGTTTTCACTTGGTGATTTTGCAGCACAAAGAGTTCAATTAATAATTACCTGTGCGAAATTTGTTTTTTAATTTGCCAACTCCGTTGTTTTAGTTGTTGTTTTTTTTTGGCTTGAGAAGTTTCGATGTGTGTTAGAACTTTTTAGTAACCTCATTACGTTTGACGATAAATGTTTCTGATCTCAATGTTTGGAGGAAGGGGTTTAAAACCTTTTTCGCAAACATTTTTCCCATGGGTGTGTGCTCAAGCAGTGTCAGCTTTTTTACGACCCCGAAAGATTTATTTGAAACGCTGATTTATTTTTCAATTGTTTTACTTTGCATGTTTTTTTTAATTCAAATTGAACTTATTCCAAACCATTCGAGACAAATATTAAAGTTTTGGTATATCTAATTTTTTATATCAAAAAGTAAAAACTAGATTAAAAATGGCAATTGAGCGGCTTTTGTCTCATTTTTGTCGGCCAGTTGCTCATGCTATGTTTGTGTTGTATCACAAGTGGTTCGAAAATTTGCTTAGTCTTTTCAAATGATTACTTGAAAAAATGTTGCCTTTCTCTATATGGATTGTGTTTGCTTAATATTTTAATTTTTTGTACGGTTTCTCACTTTTTTTACCCATGCGAAAGCAAGGGTATTGCAATTGGGTACTATACTTTTTTCCCGTAAAGAACTTTGTCCATATGAATTATTTACTGATGGTACCTTGGCTCACAAAGAAGAATTATAAAATAGAATTATATTAATAATTATGTTATTAATTACAAAATATAATTATGTTGAGGTTTTCTGAATATCCATCTGTTTACACTTGTGAGAGCAAGTATGTAATGCGGAATTAGTTTTTTTTCCCGTGGACAACTTATCTTCAAAATCGGAAAGAAATTAAAATGATATGTTTTTGAAACTTTCAGGCTCTTCCCAATTAGTCTAGAGGTAACGTGGTTGAATTCGCAATCAAAGTTTTAAGTTTCGAGTCCCTGCTGGACCTTGTTTTTTCAGAACTTAAGAAATTGAAAGGAAAACAAGACTGCTCGTATCAGGGCGAGGCCTTGAAGGTTCCGACTGCCTCCTAAGGTCTATGGAGCAGTAATAACATGGAAAAATTAAATGAAATAAAACAAAATGAAAAATCATCCCCCCACACGCCATATGAAGTACAAAAGGATAGATCTCGCTCCTTGTGATAAATCAATTATGGCAAATAAGCTATTTTCAACCAATTTGGAACGATTTCTAACACGGATTAACTCTCAGCTTACGCGTTAATTGTCCCAAATTGGCCAAAATGCCAATCTTTAAACCCCCGTAACTCTACGAAAAATTATCACAAGTATAATATCTTGTCAAATTTGAGCTCAGGACAACAATACCTTTCGAACGATATAAAAAAATTCCGTCAAAAATGGCTAGTTAAAAAGTTATGTTGTGTCACGTAGTTGTCACGTCACGGTTTCTTCTTGTGATGAAAGTACACGTCACGGTTTCTTCGTGTGATGTTAGCAGTTTTCCTTATAGTTGCCAGTTTCGTTGATGTACTCCTGCAGTTTGTATTGTCGGCCATGTGGTCGCTCGGTAGATACTTCAAGCTTATTTAATGCTTCTGGTTGTGTTTTTCGACTGCTTTTCTGGGATTTAATATTTAATTAATTCCCGAAATAACAGACTTTTGTGGCTTTTTCCGAATAGTTATTTCTGTTTTATTTGCTATTCGCGAGCTTGCAAGGCTACGCGCACATGATATCGGAAGTAATACGAACTTCGCTTCGGCTCTGTGTTAATTTTTGTAATTATTATTACAGATAGCTTATAATTTTGATTCGCAAGGGGAGCACCGTTTCTCCTAATTTTTTTTTTGAGTTTCAAAAATTATATTTGGTCCTTTTTATTCATTTGAAGTTTTAAATGTTTAATTTTTTTCTGCTGCGATATCCGATGTGCTTTTTTTACTTGGCAAGTTTTTCTTCAATTTCACTGATCTCATGACTTTTTCTGGAGTTATTAAGTAATGATCGTCGAAAGAATGCCGTATTGTTCCGACCATTTGAAAAATGAGAAACTTTGTATTCAGGTGTTTTACTTTTTTTTTTTGGTTTCCGCGCGAAATTAGGCCCTGCAAATAAATATCGGAATAGGTCGAGTGATATATCATATTAAATCACGTTCAGCCCTGATTCGAACGGAATTTTCAAAAAATTGTCCCAGTTTAAAATTTTTGAGTTGAAGTTCAAATCAGAGCGAGTAAACCAAACCAGCAGATTTTTTTTTATAGAAGGATAAGCCATGAAATTTTACTGTAAATTTTTCAGTGCGGCCTTGGGAATGAAAACTTGTTTGTGTGATTTTCTTCTTGAAACTTCCTTCTGGAATGAATGAAAACTTCAAATTCAAAAAAAAAATACAAACTAAAATTCAAAATTGTATCTGCGAAAAAAAAAAAAAGTTTTTACTTTTTTTTTGTGATTTTCTTTTAAAAAAATTACCATTTTGCCTGTTTTACTTCGAATATGTCTAAGTTCTAGGCTTTCGTCAGATTCTTTTTGCCTATCCTTGTTTAACAGCAACTGACTATCCTTGTTTAAAGGTTGCTGTTGGCATAAAAATAGGTCACTTAGATTGATATGTCTTAAGATGGAACTTATTTTGCTGAGATTTTAAGCATTATCTCATTGTAGCTCTGTTCTGTATCTGATTTGTATCTCATTTTAGTCAGCTTTTCAGTTAGCTTTTCAGTTCGATATTTATTGTCTGCATGTTGTGGAGAGCATTTGCAGCCAGTGCTCAAGCGAATTCAAAAAACACGTTTTTGGGTGTTTCGTTACTTGGAAATGGAAGAAGTGACTACATGACATGGAAGCGCCATGTGTCCCGTTTGGACCCGCAATATCACTGTGATTTCGCCATCATCGGAGGAGGTGCAATAGGATCCAGCATTGCTTATCACATCAAACAGCACAAGAAAAGCGAAGATGCTGACGTCATAGTATTCGACAGAGATCTCAACTACTCCAGGGCATCCACAGTACTAAGTGTGGGATCGATCAGACAGCAGTTCTCAATTCCAGAGAACATCCAGCTGTCCAGAGATAGTTTCAGTTTTCTAGAAAATGCAAAGAGTAATCTATCAGTATTTAACGAAGACCCAGTAGATATTAGTTTTAAAAAGGCTGGATACTTGTTTTTAGCCACTAAAGGTAAAATGGATCTTTTGCATTCCAATCACGCGACGCAGATACAAAATGGAGCCAAGCTCAAACTGCTGTCGTCTGATTCGCTTAAGACTGTTTACCCATGGATGAATACAGATGATATTGTTGGCGGATCTCTGGGTTTGGAAAACGAAGGTTGGTTTGACCCCTGGAGTTTTCTTAGTGCGTTGAAAAGGAAGAACATAAGTATGGGTGTACGGTATGTGCAAGCCAGTATCGTCAGCTTTCCTGGAATTTTTGACCGAGGAGTTAAACTAAATGTAACTTCTGCTGCAATTGGAGATCCTGCATATCCCTCTGCATCGCCGCTGTCAATGGTCTACGCGGGAGAGTATGTTAATGCCGCAGGTGCATGGTCTGGACAGTTGGGTAGGCTTCTGGGAATTGGCGGAAGATCTGAGGATGGAAGTCATTATGACTTTCTGGACGAGACTTGGAGGAGTGATGAAAGACTCCAGTTCCCAATTCCAGTCGTGCCGAAGAAACGCTATGTGTTTGTGTTTCATTGTCCAAACGGACCTGCTGAAAAGTGTCCAATGGTGGTGGATCCAAGTGGCGTATACTTCAGAAGTGAAGGACCTGCCGGATACTACATCTGTGGAAAGTGTCCATCGCCTGACAAGGAACCCGACACGAAAAATTTGGAGGTTGACTACAATTTTTTTGACGAGGAGATCTGGCCTGTTTTGGCTAACAGAGTGCCAGCTTTTGAAAGCTTGAAAGTGACACATGCATGGGCTGGTTTTTATGATTACAATATTGTGGATCAGAATGGTATCATTGGCTATCATCCAGCATTTGATAATTTTCTCATCGCTGCTGGATTTACTGGCCATGGGATTCAAATGTCGCCTGCGGTTGGTCGGGCAGCAGCTGAGCTTCTACTGAATAATAAATTTGAAACACTTGATATGCGAAGGTTTTCATTTGAGAGATTTGATAAAAATGAGCTGATCTTTGAGAAAAATGTTGTCTGAATTTACTTAACCTGATTTAAAAATTGATAATATATCTGAAAAATCACACAAAATAAACCTCTTAATTTGTAAATGTAATTGCTGGTCCCAAAATATTAGTTTTTTTTTTAAAATTAATTAGTTGAGCTGTCGGCACATTTTCAATAAAATTTTCCGATCATTAGCTTGATATTTCTACTGATATATGAATTGATCAGTTTCAGGTCCATGTTATGAAACAGCGTTCTAGGGGCAACTCAATGACTGTGGATGCCAAAATAGAATCAGGTCCTGCCGGAAGCAACGAAGATGAAGAGAGCGACTCTTCAAGCGAAGGTGACAGCCACTCGGATGAGGATGACGTCATTTATGATGATGATTGCGGAGATGAAGACGAGGGCGAATCCGACGATGACTCGGAGGATATGGAGTCGGACGGACACGAGGATGACGTCATAGTTCCTAATGTGGACCAGCAAGTTAACGTGGAGTTCGAAGCATTTCCACCGTCGGACGGTGACTTTCAAGTAGGCCTTAATTTGAGTTTCTAGAAAACAAGCTGAGCTCTTAATGTTTTCCCTTTAGAATATCAAGACTATTGGAATCGGGTACTGGACTTTTCCCCGTAACTAACCGAGCTGACAGAATGGCTGTAATTAAAATTGTACATGCGAACTCGTGGTGCGCATGAACGTTTGCAATTTTTCATTTGCGCTCAGCGTTCTTCAAAGCAATTTTTTTTCTTGCCGAAGTTTTTGACGCAACTTCGGCCAATTGAGTGTTATCAGCTTTAATTATCTATGCGCTTTTGAGATCGACGGAAATATTGAAAGCCATGTTCCAAATTTAAAAAATAAGATCGCAGACCTTCAATAAAAACGAATAAAACTTTGCACTTTAAAAATCTATTCGTTGTTTTTATCTGTTAACATCACATAGGTTACTCTGAAGCTGCTTTTTTAATTTTGTGATACGTTTCACACTTTTCGAATTAAATTTGAATCAGAATTTGAAAACGTGTTCCTTGGTTTGCCTCTTTTCATTCTTTTGTGTACGAAGTGTATCGCCACTGTATTGCCAATTTGTTAATAATCAAAGTCAGATAATTTGCGAGGAACATGTTTTTGAGGCTATAGAGAATCCCAGAGAATCCAAAGGAAATAATAAATGTTTTTGAAACGATTTATCTCGAATTCTGCTCAAGAACTTTGTTACTGTGTTTTGTTTTAATTACTTTTCATAATTTTATTTATGGAAGATGGCTTTTTATTGACGGAAGTCAGGAATGGCTTTCGCATATTGGAGTATTGGACCATAGTGTAGATGCATCTGATGTTATATGAGGTGTTTTGTATTCAGAGTCTGGTGGCATTGTTGGGCCGTCTGTTTTACAAGGAGCAACAGATCAATTTAGCCGAGTTGGCTAATTGGGTCATCGGCCACAACTACATCGGCAGTGTCCTGAAGACCAACAACCCACACAGTCCTATGGACACTTCAGACGAGGACGATGAAGACGACGACGACGAAGATGAAGAAGATGAAGACGACACTGTCTACGGTGTCACAACAGTTGTAAATTTGAAGCCAACAGGGAAAAGTGAGCATTGAAAATAACACTAAAATCAGGAAGATTTAAAAAAAAGTTAAGGTCATTTTTAAGCCTATTCTTTGACTCTGCTGATGATATTTTCAGTTCTATTGAAAAATCTCCGTGAAGCAAACATTGTGTTCGATAGGAACAAAGCGTTTAAAAAAATAATTTTGAAGCCGTTGAGTTTTTATGATTTTACAAAATTTTCAAACAGTTTGAACGCTACAGTTTACGATAAAGATGTTAAATTTTAGGCAAGGACGAGTCTTTTAAACACTCAATCGTGGCCTACCTAACTGAAAAATGCAACAGTCCCGAGATCAACACAATCCTAAATTCGCCCAGCTCTCATACAGTCGGTTTGCTCCTCACAGAACGATTCGTCAACATTCCCCCTCTCCTTGCTCCCCCCATGTTGAAGTGCCTGTGCAAAGAAATAGACTCGGCCAAGCTGAAGAAAATGCCATATGATTTCACTCACATTTTACTCATATCGAAAAGTTACGACCAGTCAGTGCAAAGTAAGAATGGATCATCCAACGAAGGTCTTCCACCTTGTCTTGAATTCATAAATCCAGAGGATGAGATATTCCAGCAGTATGCGCAGTGCGTAGCAAGTTTCCCAGTGCCAGAGGCAGAGCATCTTGTAGGAGGCTCTTGGGGTCCGAAAGAGAAGTCGATGCCCCAGTACCGGACTGTCAGTCTGATGCCTATGGATAAGTTCAAGGGTGCCGTGAACCAGATTTCAAACATTTTCACAGTCGAAAATATGATGAGTCTAATGAATGCTAATGGAACCGCGACTACATAATTTGAATCATCGTTTCTTTTCAACTTGAGACACTAGAGATTCAGGACACTTGAGACACTAGAGATACTTTAAAAAACTTACTTATAGAAAACAAATTTATATTCAGGTTTAGATTTGCTTTTCGTCTGCATGATTTGGGGCTCTTGGAATTTGAAAAGTTTTTTTTTCAGATTAAATATGTAGTAATGGAGGATACTCCGAAGTACACGGATTTAGACGCGGAGTCTTCTCGAAAGTACACCAACCTAGACTCCTTCCACAGTAGCCAGCCGACAACCGGGACGCCTCAAAGCTCCGGCTACGCGCCAGTCATGGATCCGAATAACCCGGCCGGTGGCACATACAATGGAGGGTATTATAGCCAAAACCCAGTGAATCCATCTAATGGACACTACAATGGGGTCATGCCAGGCCAGGCTCCTAGACATCAGGCAAACCCGCCACAGACTATGTACGGATATCCGCCGGTAGAGCAACAATCACCGGCAGGTTACGCGGCGCCAGCACAGCATCAACAACCACCACCTCCTCCAGCTAATTATCAAATGGGAGGGGTTCAGCAGCCACAGCAGGGACCGGTGAACCCACAGTACATGGCCCAGCTGCACAGTGAAATAGAATACTACAAGATGGAAGTAGCTAAGATGTATGTAATGCCACCGTCAACTGACCTGGCAGCTAAAATTAGAGACTTCCAAAATCGCATTTCATACCTGGAAGAAAAAAAGCAATACTTAGTGATGGGCTCACAGTCTAACCAACAAATGCCTCAGGGGTACCAACAGACTACTATGAGGTATCCGAATCAAAATCAGGCAGACTCGAACTATATGCGTATGAGTTACCCGAGAGGACCCGCTGGATATCCAAACAGACAGCCGGTTCCGCCACCTCAACAGCAGCAGTCTGGACACTACTACGCTGGCAATCAACCACAACCTGGTGGTTATAACATGCAGCCAAATGGAGGCCAGGCACCTGGGTATCCTCCGTATTACCAGCAGAACTATCAAATGGATCCGAATCAACAAAGGCCACCGGGACCAGTACATAGCGGTTACGCGCCAAATCAGAATCAGCAGTATAATACTCAGCACCCTAGCGCAATGGGAGGATATCAAATGGGTCCGAACTACCAAGCCGCTCAGCCCAGTGCAATACATCAGCATCCGCAGCAGCAGCAAGCACCGCCACAGCAACATGCAATCAGACCGCAACAGGACACCTCGCAACATACAAGTACAGATAGACCAGCATTTAGCAGCCAAAGTGTAGCTCCTAGAAGCTCTCCGGAAGCAGTTGTGAGTAATGTCAGACCTGTGTCACCCCGTAGTTCACCTGGAACCAAAACAGAGGCGAAGAGTAGAAGAAACAGTAACTCATCTGAATCGCGAAGCAGCGATGGAGCGATGACACCTCAAGCATCCTCCTTAGTGTCTAGTTTCGTTCAGAGTGCATTCAAAAGTAAAGAAGACGCAGCTACTGATGAATCTAGAGCTGCAGCACATGTAGCTACTTCAAACCAATGCCAACGCGAAGGCAAACCGACACAAACACAGCAGTATAAAGCAAACGATCAGCAATCCTTAGTGCAACAGCAAACTGTGACTCCTCAAACGGTGCAACCCATGCTCACGCAGAACAGCAGGAGTCCAGAAATTTCACTTCAGCATCAGTCATCACCCGGCTCAAATAAAGTTGAGCCTATTACGGTTCCCTGCTTCGAGCCCTGCGAGATTTTAATTCGAAAACAGTCAAATTCGTTTGCAGATTTAAGTGAAAGCAGTGACAATGGAACTGAAGCATCTAGTGACGAGAAAAGGGAAGTAAATACAGAACTCACGGAAGTTGAAGAGCCAAAAGTATTTTCAACATTATCGACTCATTCTGTAAATGCGCCTGAAAATTCAACTGTTAATCGAGTTAGTCAGAGCTTTACGATGCAACCGGTTCCCGGTGGAGCGCCTGCTAGATATACACCCATGCAACCACCGCATCAACAATCTTACCCAGTGCGACCTCAACCTATTCAACCGAGCATGCAGCCATTGCGACCTAATATGTCACATCCGCAGATGCCGATGCATGGTCAGTACAGACCGGAATACCAAATGCAGCATGGGTGCCCACCGGGGCCCTTCCTGCAGCCGATGCTTCCGGGGTCACAAACCATGGGCCCTCCTGTCTCTCGTCCTATGGGACCTCCTGGTTCACAGCCAATGGTAGCTGGACCACCAGGAATGTACCCTCCGCATTGGGTTGGGAGTGGACCGAATGGGATGCAACCTATGAATGGAGCACAGGCTCCTATGCCCCAACAACCCCAATGGGGCCAGCATGGTGGACCTCCCGGATACCTGCCTTTGACACCATCTGGAACTATCATGTCGGTGCGCCCCGAAGCACCCGCAGCTAGGGGAGGAAAGAAGTCGAAAAACGGAAATGGGTCAGCAGAAGGCAAACGGGTTAAGAAAAAGAAAAAAGACACCGAGAAAGCTATTCCAGACTCGACGACGTCGGAGCTCGGAGAACCAATGGGTGGCTGTAACGATCTGTTGTTATGTAGTGAGTTTTCGAATAACATGAATGATCAAGCCAACCTCTCTGAAGAGCCGTCTAGCTCCCAATGTGATAGCGCTAGTCCTACTAAGAAAGGCAAAAGGCGAGGCAGTGGAGTTGCGAAACCTAGGAGAGGAAGCAAAAAGCAGAAGGATAATAACAACGAAGCGGAGGGCATCGATGTCAGCAGCGTGGAAGTGGCTTCAATGGAAATGAACGCCACGTCAATTGAAACAACAGTGAAGAGTAGTTCGGAAATGACGACAGTCGAGTTGCCTAGTCCATCCGATGTGTCGCAATCAGTGAGGAAGCCGAGACGCTTGGCGACTAAGATCGGAAACAGTAAGAAGAAGAGGAAGAGGTTCAACTCTAGTGACGACGAGATCATGATGCCTCCCGAGGAACTGAATATGCCTCCGGAGGCGTTTATGGAGAAAAGGCGATCGGAGAGAAGCAGTGGTAAGTTAGCTTTATCACCGAAATCGCCTGCACTATAAAAAGGACTATGAAAAAAAATCTATCCGTCAATTTTAATTTAATTGAGTCATTTTAGTTAACAGAACCCCTTTAATTTGTTGTTTTAACCAATAAATTAAATTTAAGTCTTAAATTAATTGAAATTTTGGTTTGTTTTAGCAAGAACTCGGAAGAACTATATAGCTGACGAACTTATTGATTATGCTTTGGGAGCTGTCAGCGACGATGATGTAACTCTACCTCCTGATGTCCTTCTAGAAAGTTCTACGTCGGGATCAGTAGTTGAACCCTCTACATCTGCTGGCGACACTGTCGAAACCAGCAGCTGTTCTACGATAGCTGGAACTGAAGACAGCAGCAGCCAGAGTCTATTGACAAGGGATGAGAAAGCTGTGGGCGGTAGTGTCGGCGAAACTCCCCAGCTGTTGATTCCGGCACAAGTGGAGACTGATACGTTTGTGGTGGAGAAGATTCTTATTTCGAGGGAAAGGACCGTTAACAAGGAACCTCCTCAAGCTGTAAGGAGTTTAAGCGTCTATGATTTCATCTTAAGGTTATTTAGTAAATCGAAGTGCTTTAAGTGAGTCGAAAATTAGTTGTTTAAACTTAATTGTGAATGGAATCTTTAAATTTAATGAACACACAGATAGTCTGGAACATTATATTGTGCTTCAGTCACCGATTGAATCTGTAAAACCGGAAGCTGAAGCCAAATTAACTGGACCTGAGGATGAACCGAAAACAAAGGATAGTGAAAACGCTCAAGATGAAGAGACACCAGAAAAGGATTCTTCAGCTGAAGCTGCCGAACTCACTGACGCAGTAAAAGGGGAACCTTCGAGTTCTAAAATAGAAGAAAAGAATGACGCTGGAGCTGAAGTCAGTGCAGCTGGTGGTTCTAAAAAAATTACTGATATTAAAGTCAATACTATTGAATTGGCAAAAAAGAGTCCAAGCGCTGTTAATGTTACTGCAAGTGGGAGTCCCCCAATTGTCGTGAAGGAGTATTTTGTCAAGTACAAGGGACTGTCTTACTTGCACTGTGAGTGGGCTACTGAAGAGGTTCTCACTTACAAGGACAAAAGGTTCCCTCTCAAGCTGAAGAGATTCAAACAGGTAAAGAGGGCTAATAGTGTCGCTAGTTTTTACGCAAACGAGCTTACGAGTATTGTGTTAGATTCCGAAGGGACATTTTTTCCAAACCAAATCGCAAACAAAAATGCCCATAAAAATTCCCATCGCAAAAAAATTATAGTTTTGGCAGTTTGGTAGCAGTTCTTTTCAGGATTATGAGTGGCAATTGTTTTGGTTTTTTAAGCGTCAGTAGTGGATTTTGAAATTTTTGTATTCGCTCAGCCTTGTTACTCTAGAGAGCTTTAGCGAGCGTAGTGAGTTAGTACGAACCTTTTTTTGTAGCCTAATTGTGGAATAAAAGTGCTCAATTATTTGGTAGCTTATTTCCAGTGATAGCGTTGTTTTGTGCTAAGTAGCATTGTAATCATAAATTTATTTTGCCAAGTAGCATTGTATCTTTGTATCTGTTTTATTGGTGCTAGTATTCAAATATTTTGAAGCCGCCCTGACACAGATGCTAGACGTGCGACTTCCAATTTCGAGGTAGTGGTTCGATCCCGGCCTTCAGCTTGTTTTTTTTTGTTTAGTTTTACATTTTTTTTTCACACATGGGCCCTTTTAGAGCTGATTTTTGCCGTTTTCTCGCTTGTGTTGCACTTGAAATAGCAAGCGTCTTCTAAATCGCGTACTAGAATTTTTTCTATCAAACATTTTGTAAAGATGTTTAAGAAAGTAGTGACTGAAAAAAGGTGACTGATTGAATCTCTCTGCTGTCCTCAAAAAAGGCATTGAACTCATCTGGTTTGATATATATGCATCTTTCCCGAAATTTAGATTCGAAAAAAACTGAAGCTTTTCAGTTTTTTGGTTTAAAGGATTTCTTCTTGATTTTGTTGGTCCAATTACCATAGCTTTTTTGTCAAAAATATCCGAATTATACGAGATTGTTGTCAGAAATTACCAGGCCTTTTTTCGGTTTTCCTGTGTGCTGGCTATGCTTGATTTTTCAAACAATTTTTTTCTCTCAGTCTCTTTTATTGAACTTTTGTAGACTATCATTGTTATCCTTGTTTTTTTTTTCAAAAAATATTTGTTTTTCTGAGAAAGTATAATTGTAAACAAAAATATTAAAATATAGATTGAATTAATTTAATCAGTGTTGTTTACACAAGCAATGCTTGTGTTATTGTATGAACTATCTCTTTTTTTCAATCTAAGTCGCAAATATTAATGCGACGCAAATATTATTGCGATAGTGTTCATTTTGAAAGTGTTCGTTTTGATCAATAACCAGCTATTAAGTACAGCTAATGCTAAGGATTTTATCACAGACTATTATTGTCCCTACTTTCGTAAAGAAACGGAATATTTGTGCTCGGGTGGTTTTTTTTTCTTCAGACAAATTTCGACTTTTTAACTAGCCATTTTTGACAGAATTTTTTTATATCATTCGAAAAGTATTGTTGTCCTGAGCTTAAATTTGAAAAGATAGTTCACCTGTGATCATTTTTCGTAAAGTTATGGGGGTTTAAAGATTGCCATTTTGGCCAATTTAGGACAATTAACGCGCGATAGATTTCGAGCTATTAACGTGTAAGCGGAAATTTAATCCGTCATAGAAGTCGTTCCAAATTGGTTGAACGAAGCTTATTTGCCATAATTGATTTGTTTCTAGACGCGAAATGTATGACTTTGTACCTAATATGGCGTGTGGGGGGATGATTTTCACAAAATCTCAAATTAAAAAAAATCATTTTATTTTCATTACATTTAATTTTATCATGTTATTACTGCTCTCTCTTGCTGTGATATCTGGAAAATGTTCAACGAATGTTTAACAAAGTGGTTGCAGCAAATAAACGTGATGAAGATCATTTTAATCTGTTTTTAAAAGTGACATTTTTGAAGCTAAGTTTAGTGTCAGGTTCACTTGGCTTCAAATGTAACAAGGATAACCGGTGCACTGAATGTTCCGACCATATTCTTAAAAAATACATGTTTTTTCTTTTTCAAATATGTCGTTTTTTGAAATTATTTTTGATATCGTTCGAATCAGGGTTGAAAGGGGCTTTAATATGATATATCACTCGTACCATTCCAATTGTTTGTGGTAACTTTTCTTGGTTGAAAAACGAAATAAGCCTTCTCGCTCGCTTTTCTCGCTCGCTTTTCTCGCTCGAAAGACGAAAAATCAAAAATTTCAAACCCGTTTTTCTCGATACAGGGAATTCTTGAAAATTTTTAAAAATCGTTAGAATGACGAAGGGTTTCAATGTGATGTCCCTCGACCCAATTCGATGATTATTTGTGGTACCTGATTTTGCATGGAAAACAAAAAAATAAAACACCCAAATACGAAGTTCCTCCCCACTTTCAGTCGTTGGAACAAAAAATGCATTGGTCATTTTGTATTAAGAAGCAACTTGAGAACAGTGGATGTGGCAGAGTTGAAGACTGCACAGAAGAGGAGCCATTCAACCCCGAGTTTGTGGAGGTGGACAGGGTGCTGGACTGCATGTTGTCGCCGGATGAGGTTGACGAGACCACTGGACAGCCCAAGAGACACTTCCTGGTCAAGTGGTGCTCCCTGCCTTACGAGGAGAGCACGTGGGAAATGGAGGAGGATGTAGACGTGGGAAGGATACAGCATTACTTCAAGATCAACGATTTCAAACAGGTTGGTTGTTTAGGACCTGCTTAAGAGATCCAAACTGTTCAACAGTTTAACACTTCCAATAAAACTATTGACATAACTTGCAATTCATCGCCTCTTTTAAATGTTCCTGGATTTTTGAAATTGTAAAATGATCCGCCTCGAAATGATAATTTAAAATTGAAGATAAGTATAGTTTTTAAAATGACAAATTACTTGTTTAGATTGTGCAGTGGCTATCTATTTTATAAGTATTCAGTGTGAAGATAATCTGCACCAAAAATTATTCGCATTGGGAATAAACTATTAGACCATTTCTCATTAAGTTCCAACAATACCCCTTGGTAAGGTTGCATTGCCCTTTGAAGCTATGCGCGCAGATCTTGGCGGGTCCCAAACCATTGACTGATTGAGTTACCGAATATCCTTAGCTAATCATTATACCTTAGATCCTTCGCTTATCATTGAAATATTTTCAGTATGAGTTGCAACGGCTGTCTGCTCGAAAGACAAGACCACACTTCAAAGAGTGGAAGAAGCTAGATGAAATGCCAGTGTTCAAGAACAACAACGAGCTCAGGGACTACCAACTAGAAGGCATCAACTGGTTACTCTACTGCTACTACAAACACACAAACTGTATTCTAGCGGACGAAATGGGACTGGGAAAAACTGTTCAGTCAGCGACGTTCTTAGAGATGGTATACAGAGCAGGGATCCACGGCCCCTTCCTTGTCATTGCTCCGCTTTCAACAATTTGCAACTGGCTTAGGGAGTTCGAAGGTTGGACGGACCAGAATTGCATAGTGTATCATGGATCTCAGATCAGCAGGAACATGATCCAACAGTATGAGATGTTCCACAAAGATCCAAAGACTGGAAAACTAAACAAGAAGTTGTACAAGTTCACGGCTCTTGTAACGACCTACGAGGTGCTTCTGGCAGATTGCATGGATGTCTTCAAAGAGATCGAGTGGCAAGTTTGCATTATCGATGAAGCACATAGACTGAAAAACAAGAAGTGTAAGCTGATGGATGGCCTGAACATGTTGTACATGGATCATATTGTTCTGTTGACCGGAACGCCTTTGCAGAATAACGTAGACGAGCTCTTCTCGTTGCTCAATTTTTTGGACCCCGTCACTTTCAACAATAACCAGGAGTTCATGAATGACTTCGGTACCTTGCAAAGCGAGGATCAGGTAAACAAGCTGCAGGCAATTTTGAAACCTCTCATGTTGAGAAGACTGAAAGAAGACGTCGAGCGAAGCATTGCACCCAAAGAGGAGACGATTATTGAGGTGGAACTTACAAATGTGCAGAAAACTTGGTATAGAGCTATTATTGAGAAGAACTTCTCACATATTGCAAAAAGTGCTAGCGGGGGCGTGAGAGCGCTTCCAAATCTCATGAACACAATGATGGAATTGAGAAAGTGTTGCAACCACCCATTCTTGCTGAATGGAGTCGAAGAGCAGATTCTGAATGAGTTTGCATCGGCTCCCGAGGTCCAATATAACCGGTACTTAGATGCTCTGATTCAAAGCTGTGGTAAAATAGTTCTGATCGACAAGCTGTTACCGAAGCTAAAAGAAAGCAATCACCGAGTCTTGATATTCAGTCAAATGGTGCGCTGCTTAGACATAATCGAAGACTATATTCAGCAGAGGAACTATTCCTTCGAAAGAATAGACGGAGGCGTCCGAGGCCTACAACGTCAGGCAGCTATTGACAGATTTAGCAAGCCTGGCTCAGATAAGTTCATATTTTTACTGTGCACTAAAGCGGGAGGACTAGGGATTAATTTGACGGCTGCGGATACTGTGATCATTTATGATTCGGACTGGAATCCTCAGAATGATCTTCAGGCACAGGCCAGGTGTCACAGGATAGGACAGAAGAAACACGTTCAAGTGTATAGACTCATCACGAAGTGAGTAAAGGTTTTCTCAAAAGCATGGAAATTTAGCTTCTATAACATCGCTGTGTTTTACTGGAAATAGCTAATGAAGTTTTAATTATGACCAAGAAATCGGCCATTTATACTAGTAATTATCGGCCATGTGAATCATCTCCCCAGTAGACGAATTTACGGAGAAAAATGTTTGACAGCATTTTTTTCTCAGTCAATCAGAATTTTTGTCCTTGCAGAACTTTTTAAAAGCTCCATACTCTTATCCCTTATCAACCCACAGTTTTTCAGTAGCGTTTTGTTCGGGAAATCATGTTTCTAAAAGCTTGCAAATTGTCTTTTGCGTGAAGCACCTATAAAAATGAAGCTCCTATTTAGATGAGCACCTATAACATTACATTGTTTCCGTGGAAGTAGCCATTGAAGTTTTTATTATGATCAATGAGTTGACTATTTATGCTAGGAATAATTTCACCAGAAGACCAATTTAAAGGGGGAAATTTTTCAATTGATTGAGAGCCTTTTTTCCTCATTTATCTATACATTGTTTAATTGGCGTTTAACTTGAGACATATTTAAGAAGTCCCTATGTTGACATATTTAAGAAGTCCCTATGCTGACATATTTAAGCTTTTTACACAAGCATAGCTTGTGTTATAGTACGAACTTTCTTTTTTTCAACCTGAGTCGCAAATATTGTTGCGATGTAATTGTTTGGATAAAATGTGTTCATTTTGAGTGTTCAATTTGATCCAGCTATTAAGTACAGCCAATGCTAAGGATTTTCACACAGACTATTATATTGCAAATAGCACTTTAGCTTCAAGGTATCATGGATCTGTAGCGTAGAGGTAGGGAGGGAAACCCGTATCAAAAAAAAAGGGTTCGAAGCTAGGCAGGGTCAGATGTTTATAATGAACTTTTTCGTATACTCGTTAAAATGCGTCCGCTCGATAAATTGAGGCATGTTAGTTGGTAAATTTCTTTTTTTTTTTCAAATTGACTGGTACTGCTAATGAGCCATAATTGGCTTGCGTCATATAGCAATTAAGAAGTCAGATATTTTGAAGAAGTTTTACTCATTCAGTTTTTCCCAATAGCGTTATCGGTGATAATTTTTGCTTGTGTATGCGAAGTGCAAATTCGCCTCTGCGTGAACGTATTACTTTTAGCATATTTAACGAAAAATTATTGCATGTTTAAGCTATATCGTATATTGAAATGCTTAAGAAAGTTCACTTGGCACATGTTTCAGAAGTTGCTATGTTGGCCTGTTAATTGGTTAAAACATAGCAAGGGTTGAAAGGTTAACTCAAGTCGACGTTTTTAAATCTGTTATAGGGTGAATGCTTTAACTCTACATTTCTCCCATATTCGCAACTCAAAACTATCACATTTTTGTTTCACAATTTAGTTAACTAAATATTGTTTTCTCAGCGTTATAGTTGGGTGCTGTCAGGGTACACTAATGTATTGCAAAGCTGGCGTCCAAGTATGACAGCTCGAATCCTTTTGGTTTTAGTGATAGGGTGTTTTTAATGATTTCATTTGTTTCTTCGGAAAAATTAGATACAAAAAAACTAAGCGACTTTGAATTTCTCAACCCCATAATGGCGCGCTGTTAAGGTACCTTCAGTAATTTAAAATATGGCCTTCAAGTATGATTGCTTAAATTTTTTTGGTTTCGGAGATATGACGTTTTATATGATTTTTAATTTTCCGAAAAACTTTTTTCTATTAAAAAAAACCTCGTCGGTATTCTTATTCTTCACCCTAAGGCGGAGTCCTGTCATTTAACCATTGGCGTTTCGAATCTACCCTCTAAATATGACTGATCACATCCTTTCGGTTTTCGAGATATGGCGATTTTCATTTATGATTTTAAAAGAAAAAACTTTTCCAAAAAAGTTTAGATGTGAAATTAAGTAATCGAACTTGAAAATCTCAACCCTTTTGTTGGGCACTGTCAGGCTACACTCAGGAATTGCAAATCTGGCCTCCAAGTATGACTGTCCAAATTCATTTGATCATCGTCATGGCGTTTTTATGATTTCGTATTTATTTAAAAAACTTAGTTGTAAAACAAAATTAATGGAACTTGAATTTGCCAAACATATGTTGGTGTGATGTCGAAATACACTCAAGGATTGCAATTCTTCCCTCCAAATGTGGCTGTTCAATTTTTTTGATTTCCGAGATGTGTCATTTTTTATGATTTTTTCATTTTTGTTTAAAAAAATTTGAATTAAAAAAAATAACAGAACTTCAAATTCTCAACCCTAGTCGGGATCCTGTCAGTGAAACATAGGCGTTGCAAATCAGCCCGCTTTCGAGATGTGGCGATTTTTATGCTTTTTTTTTTTCAAAAACATGAATTAAAAAACTAACCGATCTTGAAATTCTCAACCCAAATGGTGAGGTTCTTTTAGGGTGCTTTCATGGGTTACTGCCAGAGTAAAAATCAGGGGGTACCGTCAGGGCATCTATCTTTCACTGTCAGGGTACAAATCAGGGGGGTACTGTCAGGGCGTCTATCTTTTTCTGTCAGGTTACAAATCAGTGGGTACTATCCGGGCCTCTATTTTTACTGCTCAAATCTTTCCTGTTTCCAAGATATGGTGTTTTCATGATTTTTCTATACCTTTTCAAAAAAACTTAGATTCAAGTTTAAGTCTTATAACTTGAAGTTGTTAACCCTATGGTGGGATGCAGCCATGGAACAATATAGAGTAGCAAATCTGGCCTCTAATTTTATCTGCTCAAATCATTTTGGTTTTCGAGATATGGCGTTTTTTATGAAAAAGAAACCCCTTGATGGATGAGCGCAGTTTATCTTCACGATTGCCTTAAATTAGGGTCATTAAATTGTCGCTGTTTTAGTACATGTTTTAGGAAGTATTTGTTACGTTCAACAATCTATTTGAAGCACCGTAGGCATGAGTCATTCGCTAGTTGAATCAGAACCAACGTATTTTGAACGTGTACTTACTGCATGAATTTTTCGTTTCTTGGGGCAGGGTTTGGGGTTAGAGAAAGATCGATCGATCTCTTGATTATTTTATGTGGGAAGTTATTCACTTAATCCGTACAGGATAGAATTTTTTTAAAGAAATTTTCGTGCTTCTATTTAGAAATACGTACGAGCGTGAGATGTTTGACCGAGCTAGTCAGAAGTTGGGGCTGGACAAGGCAGTGTTGCAGACTATGAGTGGAAGGAAGGGAGCCGCAGTGGGAGGTACTGAGGGAGATGGGACTGCAGGGGGTGCCATGAATGCCCCTATGAGTAAGAAGGAAGTAGAGGATTTGCTGAAGAAAGGAGCTTATGGGGCTGTGATGGAGGACGACGATGCCGCTCAGAAGTTCTGCGAAGAGGACATAGACCAGATTTTGAAAAAGAGAACTCAGGTACAGTGATGTTTTCGAGCTTTGACTTTTGTAGGTGCTCAAGCTTTTTTTGCTTTAAATAGGTTTATCTGACTTTCTGGTCAATAAGTACATTTTCTTGAGCAAATTTTCTTTGATTCTATATATGAAACGCAATCAAGTCCGATTCGCTATATAATTTGCTAATTTTTGTTTGTTACAGGTCATCAAAATAGAGTCTGAGGCAGTTGGGTCTACCTTCAGCAAAGCATCTTTCACATCCAACGATGCGAACAATGACATAGACTTAAACGATCCCAATTTCTGGGAGAAGTGGGCCCAGAAGGCCAACGTGGACTACGGCCAGGCACTCAAGGACGATAGGATCTTAGAAGCACCTAGGCAACGTAGACAGACTAGAAGGTTAGAAAAGCAGGCGCGAATCTAGGATTTTCTCGAGGAGGGGCTGATTTTAAAAACAAAATGGAAATTTTGTAGAACTTTTTTAGGTATTTGATAGTTTTTCCAAGTTCCCTCAAAACACTAAGATCTTAGAGCAAAAACCCGCAATATGCATTGTGAATTGAAATAATCTGCGCATGTGACAATTATTTTTGGTTGGAAATAAAGATGATGCATATTTACATGACATCAATATGTTACCAAACATGACCATGATTAACAAATAATTTGTTTAATTAGATTCGAATATAGCCAAGTGAACGATGACATGTACGGTCTCTCGGAAAGTGACTCGGACGCCAGTGGATCAGCGGCAGAGAGTGCGAATGGGAAGGGAGAGAGAGCAAGTACACGAAAGAGCAAAAAGCGAGGAGCGACTGCACACACCGACGACAATAGTTCGGATGGAGGCCAGGAATTTGTCAGGTCAGATCTGTACCAATGTGAGAAGGGTTTGTTGACGTTTGGGTGGGGCAACTGGCTTCGAATCATCGAGGGATTCAAGTTTAGAAGAGATATGACAACCAAACTTGTGGAGGATCTCTGTAGATGTATTCTTGCCTATGCGTTGCAATGGTATCAAGGTGATGATAAGATCCGAAAATTTGTCTACGAGTTGATCACTCCTGATAATGATAATATAGAAATTCTGAAGAGTCACGCGGCGCAGTCTTGTGCTGCGCCAAGAGGCAGGAAGTCAACGAGAAACAAGTCTGAGAAAAGCAGCTCGGAAACAGTAGTAGACGATAATCATTGGTCTAACGGGGAGAATCTTGAAGCAATTCTCGGTGATGCCACCTTCCGTAAACATGTGCGATACCAGTGCAACAAAGTGTTGATAAGAGTGCGAACATTGTTCTTCATTCATCACGAAATAATTGATGATTTAGCTGAGAAAGTAAACTCTGGCGCGAATCATAGTGAAATCCCACTTGAGATTGCGCCTGTGGATGTCGCGAAACCATGTGAGTGGTGGGACGAAGCATGTGACAAATGTCTGTTCATCGGGGTATTTAAACATGGTTATGATCAGTTTACGAAGATCAGAAATGATCCCACCCTGTGCTTTGTTTCTCTGGTAGGAGAATCCGAGGCTGAAGCGCAGGATACATTAGACGAGGACGATTTGGAAAACGAAGATGTAGAAGTCCAAAACGTCAACGGAGAAGAGTCGGACGTCAAAAAAGAGCCCACGGAAGTGACAGAGGATAAAGAAAAAGAAGAAAATAAAAGCAGTGATCCAGAAAAGTCTAGAAGTGGGAATGACGATGAAACCAACTCACAGGAGAGCATATCGAATGCAGATGCAAAAACGAATTCCAGTCAAGAAACGAAGACACTGAGCGAAGATACTGAATCATCTGAACAGTTTGCCAATTTATGGCCTCCAGCATCTGCGCTGAATAACAGACTGCGCAAGGTAATCGCAGCTTTGCAGAAGCTTTCGAAGAAACAAAAACTGATGTTAGAAAAAAGAAAAACACGCTTGGAGAAAATGGCTGTTGTGAATGCAACCAAACCCGTCGTAGAAGTCAAAGAAAAATGGGCTAAACGGGAAGAAAACGACTTCTACAAAACCATTTCAACATTCGGTCTTCAATATACAAAAGACGGAGACTATGTTTGGAATAAGTTCAGAATGATAGCATCGCTCAACAGAAAATCAGACGGTGCTCTTACGCAATATTGCGATGCTTTCAAAAGTATGTGCGAGAGAGTTTGTGGGATAAAAATTGAGCCTTTAGATGATGTCAGCCATTTGCCTCAAATCGAGCCCATAACTGAAGATCGGGCAAGGAAAACTCTACATAGAATAGAACTTATGCGCAGGATTCGACTGGACGCCATCTATAATCCTCTTTTCGAAAAGAGGATCAAGTTGTGTCAGTCGGCGTTGGACATGCCCTCTTGGTGGATCGCGGGTGAGCATGACCGCGATCTGATGTTTGGAGTGGCAAATCACGGAATCCTGAGAAGCGAAGTGAACTTGCTTCAGGATCCTCAACTCTGTTTTCTGAGAGTCAAGGACGAAATCATGAAGAGTGTCCAGAGGAAACATGATGAGAAAGTGGCGAAGTTTAAGAAGGAACGTGACGGGGAGTCCACTAATCCCGAGAACGAAGCTGCAGAGGCAACGGCGACATCAAATGTAAATCTTGCAACCGAGGAAAAAACTGCTGATAATAACGAAAAAGATTCTTCTAAAGCTACTGAAGTTAACGATCAAGCTAAAGACGAAGAGGTCGAGTCGAAAGAAAATGTAGATGAAGATAAGGCCAAGGAAGAGGCGCCTGAAGTTAAGCCCGAAATTAAGTCGGAGTTGGATCGTCAATCGTCGTCTCCTGTGCCAGTAAATATAACTGACATGCTAGGAGTTGCATATTTGGTACAGTGGCCAAAAGACCGTGTGTTGTTGGCCAGGTTGGAGAAAATCTGCACCTGTATTGAGAATGGTAGTTGGCCGACTTTGAAGTGGACCCAGCCGCCGCCAGTTTCGTATGACAAAAATGGTGGGTCAGAAGTGATGCCTGGTGACGAAGTGCTTGAAACACAATCAGCCAAAGCGGTTTTGAAGTCTCAACTGCTGGGAGAAAGCTTCGAAGGGATGTCAAGTGCACGAACGGCTTCTGAAGCAATGGCCGCTTGTTCCTTCAAACCAGGACGCAGAGGTCGAGCTTCAAATAGCGGAGTTCATTTACCCGCAAGCCTGAGGAAGCAGAGTAACGCTAGCTCATCCGGAGTAATAGCCGATGAGAAGAGTTTGTCAAAGCTAAGAGAGCTTTTTGAAAAACAAGGATCAGCGATGGATAACGAGACGCCATTGGCATGTAGTTTCAGCGGTATTGGTGGAATTATGGATTTGTCAATGAAAGCGGGTACGTCAGCAGCCAGCGCTAGTTCTAGATACACAAATAGTGAAAGATCGACTCCAGATTCTCGAGCAGAAGATGCAGACATTTCTGACCAGGGATCTGTAATAGCTGGATCGGAAACTCCGGACATCAAACGAAGAACTGTTGGCAGCTCCAAGAGAAAAAGGAAGCATACTTCGGTAATAATTGATCCATCGAAGCTTGATGTAGACAACATAAATGGCTCGGAGCATGTGGCTGTCGTAGACCGAATATCAGGTGTAAAAATAGAAGGCAGCGATGCTCCAATTCTGAATAACGTTGTTGATTTTCTGTACAAAAATAGCACATTTGATATTGCTCCTGAGTGGGAAGTAATTGTGAAAGCACAGAAGAGGTTTCCATCTGACCTGATAAAGCGAGTAGCTGGCTTGAACCCTGGAGGTAGTCCCGAGTCGAAGAAGTTGAAGCAAAGTGGTAAGCAGCTGTACTCTCCGGCTAGATCGGTCAGTCAATCATCATCAGCCTCACCCGCTAGAGTTTCTTCGGCGAATAATGTGTCATCTGCAGACCTCCTGTCTCAAGCAGCTTTGCTCAGCAGTTTGACCTCTATGAGCGGAGGCAACTCTATGAATCCGTTCGCTAGCATACCAAACTTACCCAATCTACCTCTTACTCCGGACTTAGCTTCACTGGGACTCTTCAACCCGATGTTGTCAATGTTCCCACAGCAGCAGTCTCAAAGCTCCGATCACAAATCGGCATCATCTCTCGCGGCGGCAGCTGCTCAAAGTGCCGCTCTGAATTACCAACTGGCTAGTTTGGCTGCGGTATCTCTGAACCCGCTTCTCGCGCAGTCTTTGAACCCCTTTGCATCGCTTCATGGTTTGGGCAATCCGTTTGGCGGAGGGTCGAATAGCCAAGACTCCGCTATGCAGTTAGCGGGGTTGTCCGCTCTTTTGAGTGGCTCTCTACCTCCCGGATTGACGGCAGACTCATTGCTAAGCTCACTGTCTCAACCGGTGAGTAATGCTAGCATGATGCCAAATGAAAGTAATAGCAAAGCACCAAACAATAGTTCTAGTCAAGTGTCAAGTAAAGCTAGCAACATGTCACCGAAAGCATCTGAATTCAAATCAGGAGAACATTCATATTCGCCGCGGTCACCCGCAATTGGAGGATCCAATTCTCCTGGAAACTCTAAGAGTGTCGCTTATGCGTCGCCCTCTACGACACCTAAATCATCAAGTAATATGGTTACAAGTGATAAATCGGGATCTTCGACCAAATCTCAACGCTCTTCGCCTCCAGCAGCGTCTGCATCAACCGGTACTTCTGCTTCGCCTGTGAACACATCAACGTCTAACTTGTTGCCGAACATTCCTCAGTTGTCCCCGAATGACCTCTTAGCCGCGGCGTCATTGGGGTCGCTTCCGTTCATGATGCCTCCTTCCATGCCTCCATTCCTTTCGAACAGTCAATCTCCGGCAACATCCAACGCCTCTGTCCTTTCAAATTCCTCAATTCCGGGATTTGATCTTTCAGCCGCAGGTCTAGAAGCGGCTCAGTTGGCAGCACTTGCGAGTCTTTGCGCCGGAGGAGGAATTACGCCTCAGACTCAAAACGATATTCAAGGACAGAATTTATTTGGAAGTTCACCGCTTTACCCAAACTCGGATCTGTCACGGCTAACTGGACTTACATCTGACAGTTTCATGAACGAACAAAATGCACTGCTAGCACGTATGCAAAAGGAACTGGCTGAACAAATGGGTGATAGTAACATTTTAGGGGGATACCAGTTGAAGGATGGAGCCACATCATCAATTACTACTAGCAGCTCACAAAGTAAAGGAAAATCAAATCAGAAATCGACATCAAATGAATAATTGAATAGTATCGAATTGAATGCATTTATTAATCTAGTGGCGCTTCGAAAGTTTTAATAACTGCAAATTTGACCCTCAATCTATTCGTTTTTACTGATTTTTGTCTTTTTTATATTGCAACGTCTACGTGTATTTGTATTTCGACGGGACCAGTATCTCATTTTTTTCAAGCTGGAGAAACAATAGTTGTACTTCATTTTTGATGTTTTTAGTAACTATATTAGATTAGATTAGTGATTCGCTCAGATGTTATTATCTTCCACATTGGCGTGCTATTTCAACGTAGCTGGTATATCATCATCATTCATCCGCCCTCAATTTCTTATGGCAACCAATTACAAAATTCTTTTGATGATTATGTTCTGATTATGGATCAAAAGCTTAACTGATTTATTTCACACCAAGATAGATAATTTATCCTTTTTGATTTGCATCTAAGTAACTAGCATTCAATGTTTAACTACTCGGTTTTGGCCCAAGGAACATTCCATGGCCATTTGTCGAGTTGTTTAATATCTGCCCCCTAATTAATAGATTCACAGTAACTTAATAATATTGTCGTTTCACCTTAGTGCAATTTGTATCATTAGTGCAATGCTATCTTTGATAATAATTAAGTGTATTAAAAATAAATTACAATTATGTGTTTTTAGCAGTTGAGACGCTAGATTAAGTTTCAACAAGAGAAGCCGGTAACTGTGAAAGAAGCCCAGGTTGCTCTGACCACAGTCATCATTACAAAACAAAGAGACTAACAAAACGAAAAAAAAACTATGTAATTTATTTTCCAAAAGATTAGCGTAATCATTTACTAAATATGTCTCCGTAGTTTTGAACAATCTGATAGTAATTGATTCTTCGGGGATCATGATGTTTGAGATTTTGCAATTAAGTTTTCGTTGCTTTACTTGAACTTTTTTTCTTGCTACACTTTTTTTAAGGGGCGTTTCACATGACACATGTGTAAGAAAGACCTGTGTTAATTTGGTAAAGGGCCAATACTTTACAGCATTTAAAATTTACTGAGTTTGACTTTTTTACACTAGCAATCAGCGTAGTGTATTACTACGAGCTTTCTTTTTCTAACTTAACTCACTAATAAAACTGTTCATTGAAAGTATTCACGTGTATGGAAATTTCACTATAGCATTGGAAATTGCATAGCATCTGTTCTCTGCTTTATTTGTGGCTAGTAATTGTCATCAATTAAGCTGAGTGGTTAGTAATTGAGATTCATCATATCTAAGTTGCAGTAGGGCGTAGGTTTGAATCCGAGATGTATCCGATTTTTTTAAACTAATTTGAGGCTTATTTCTACTTTTTCTTATTGCACTTCATAGAGCGGTTTTTGTCGTGTTCACGCTAGTGTTTGAAAAGCGCAGCCTCGCCTCTATAAAATATTCAATACGAGTTTTCAAGTACGTTTTTATCCATATGAACTATTGATTGCAAAATTCCAATGTCATCATACCTTTTCATATACATTTGGAGCTCGAACGCATTTTTTTTTCGTTATTCGCATTTTTTTCCTTGATTCGTAATGCCAACTTGAGCTCATTGCAGTGTTTATTTCACAAAATTTGAAGTTAGCAACCCTATTCTGGAGTGCTGTTAGTGTTCTCAAGATATAAATACTCAAAATCTTGAAGCTTATGGGATATGACGATTTTCGTGATTGTTTCAAAAAAATTGAAATCTTTGATTTAAAAAAACATTTGAAAACCTTCAAAAAATTTGAAATTCTGAACCCCGTGGTGGGTTGCATTCAGGCGATTCTCAGGATTTGCAAGTCTTGTCATAAAATATGAATGTTTTAATTCTCATAGTTTCTGAGATATGACGTTTTTATGCTTTCTTATAAATTTTCCAAAACTGATTACCCTTGCGATAAGCAAGGGTAGTGCGATCGGGTACAAGACTTTTTCTCGTAAACAACTTTGTCCACTTGATAGTCTCCAATTTCAAGATCTCCATTTTCAGCATGTTGCACTCTTAACTGAAGCAGTCGTCTCTGTGTGTGAGCATGTTAGCATTTTGAGTATCCGTCATATTCGAAATTTGATTATTAGGTTGGTTGTTATTTTGACAACTTAATAAGAGTAATGAACGTAGTGAAAACTCTTATATAAGTCTTAATGATTTTTTTCAGGAAAAAGTCTTAATGTGCATAAAATCTCTAATGATTACATGTGCATTATACATATTGATCCATTTATGAATGCACTTAGATATATATGCACTTTCTGAGTTCAATTGAAACTCATCTGCTGAAAGTGACGTAAATGATAAGTCGTTCTAAGAAATTCAAAGAGCTTAGAGACATCTATTTTTTTCTTTGAAATTCGAAAGTTGAGATTTTTTAAACGAAGTCAGTGTTTTTTTTATGTACAGGCCAATTAAATTAAATGACTGAGTTAGATAAGAATTCTGTTCAAAAAATAATGTTTTAACAAAAAATTTAATTATTTAACACTGCTTTTAAAAAGTTAATGAAAACGACTGTTGTTCGCTTTCGGCCACCTTAATCTCGAAAATCTGAAACCTAGTAGTTTGAAAATTTTACTTTGAAGTCTACCAATTAGTCTACTTTGGTCTTCGTTGTCAATGAGTTATTTCATTGGGTTCCCTACCAAGCTCTTATAACAAAATCGGTTGTACATGTTCACTGACGCTGTATTGCAATTCTTGATCATAAATATAGACAAAGAATTGTTTTTTCTTGCTACGCTTTTCTATTTGAATCAGAGCTGGTACTTTGTTTAAATTCAGAATTTTTTTTAAAAAATAGAACAGGTTTAAAAGCGCATTTGTTGCTGAAATCGGATCAAGTTTGCTTCCTCGTTTTTTTTTGTTTTTTTTTATGTCCCAAATTCAATCTTCACAAATCCAATCATACGCATCGAATATTCACAACGACAAGAAGATCATTGAGATATTTTTGGAACGTAATTGTTTCGACCAATGGAGAAAAGCGGTCGAGAAAAAATGATTTAATAAAAATTGATGTTTGAGGCTATAAAAAAATTCAGGGAAACTAGTTTTGGAAGCTGCATTGAGCGCTTTTTTGGCAATAAAAATTGTTGAAAAACAAAACATATTTATGCAAAAAGTAATTTTTTTAAAATTTTTGTTCGTATTTTTTGCTATTCGTTTTTTTGGATTCTGCTCGTTTAATTAGTTCTCCCTGTTCACGCCACACATAAAACAATACTTACTTGAAAAAAATAATGTTTTTTTTCTGTTTTTAAATGATTTTTTTTGGAACATTCTGCGCCAATTGCACGGCTAACGGCTTTCCTTGTTAAAGAATTGTTTTTTTTTAAATGCTAGCATTATGTTGAAAGTTTTTGTTGACGGATTGATATTTCGTTTTTTTTTTGCAAAATTTGGATGTGGAGTTTTTCTAGCTTAATGTAACCTATCTGCTGAGCAGGGGCGGATCTAGGAAGTTGTTTGAACATTTTGTCGATTTTTTTAAGGTCAACTAAAGTGATTTTCCGAGCTCTCCTAAACATAGATAGACATTTTTTGAAAAAACGGTCCAAAAATGCCGTTTGTGGGCTTGAAATTTTTGACCAAAAAATTGCGGTTTTTTTCGACGCGTGCTCACCTTCAAAATTAGTATATATTGGCCGGCCGAAATTTGAGTTGGTTGGCCGAAAATGGATGTCTTAAAAATACCAAAGGAGGGACCCTTTGGCTGGTGAGGGGGTCGAATCCCTCAAGAGCGGCGTCAAGTCCCCGCTGCTCCTCCCAGCCGCCCCCCCCCCCCCCCCTAAATCCGTCCTGCTGTTGAATGTGCATGTCGTGTCAAGGCCAAAAGAATATTGTTCGTAGGCTAATTTTATTTAAATTTGATCTCGCGAAATGTAGGATTAAAAAGAATTGCTCTATTGTTAGTTAATCAGAAAAATCTGATAATTATCGTTGTTTTCATAAAATTCATCAAAAATCACAAAGATTTCAAAGAAATTCGAAGAGAGAAGAAAAAATTGATGAGTGCGTATAGCTGATTATTTAAAAAACTTTTTAGATGGTACTATGAAATGGCAACAGGCGGGAAAGAAAATTTACCAGCTAGCAAGCCCGATGAGCTCAATATGCAGCATCTCTCTTTGGGACAAAAGAGCGAGCCATTCATCGAGGGATGGGAGATAGTTGACGTGTTAGGTGAGGGAGCGTACGGAGAAGTGAAATTGGCGAGACACCAGGTACATAACGAGTACGTTGCAGTCAAGACAATCACAATCACAGACCAGAATAAAGACCTGATTCGGAAAGAAGTGGGAATCATGAAGTGCCTAGAGCACAAGAATATCATCAAGTTCTACGGCCAAAGGTCAGTGGATAAACGAAACCAGGTTTTTATTTTCCTGGAGTACGCTGAAAACGGAGAGCTGTTTGACCGAATTGAGCCAGAAATCGGGATGCCCAGAAAGGAAATGTTCAAATATTTCACACAGTTGCTGGAAGGAGTCGAGTTTATACACGAGAAAGGCATCGTGCATAGAGATATAAAGCCCGAAAATCTACTTATTGATAAAGACATGAACTTGAGAATATCAGATTTTGGTCTGGCCACGCTTTTCAGATGTAAGGGAAAAGAAAGAAAATTAAACACAGTTTGCGGGACACCGTGCTATTCCGCTCCAGAAGTGCTGGAAGGCGGACATTATTATGCGGAGCCAATTGATGTTTGGTCTTGTGGTATTGTTTTACTGGCTATGCTAACGGGTGAGTTGCCGTGGGACGAACCCAAACGATCATGCAAAGAATTTGATCATTGGGCGGAGAAGAAGCATTATTCCACACCTTGGTGTAAAATTGATGCCATTGCACTTGGATTCTTCTTGAAGTTACTCCATTTGAAGCCAGCTGAGAGACTTACTATTGCGAATATTCGCAAAGAGACTTGGTACGTTAAACTATCACAGGCAATGTCGACCTCCAGAAAACGGCAATATTCTCCTGGATCATCGCCTATTGCCCAATCTCCGAGTAGACCATTCAAACTAGCATGCAGTCGAATTGAGAATTCGCCTTGCAGAAAAGTGCCCGTTGACTTCTATCACGCCATGCCTCAAAGTCAGCCTGTGTTGTCTAGTCCTGTGGGTCAGACGCCAGGCGGTACACCTGGAAAGGGAGCGGCGGTATCTGTGGCAGCAACTGATTTCGTGATGAGTCAACCCAATGATTTTGGATCCATGGCCATTACCCAAACCGGAGCTGGCTCAGTGAGAAAAGTGAATCGTATGACTAGGTTCTACACGAAAGGTGTGTACCTTGAGACTCTCAAGGCCATACAGAGGTTCCTGGAACACAACGGAATCTCGTACAAAGTTTCGGAATCGGTGCTGACAGCTTCTGTCGTGGATTCTAGATCCAATAAATTGGTATGGAAAATTAACATCATTACGACCGGAGACAAAGAATTGAATTTAGTGGACGTGAGGAGGTCCAAAGGAGACGGAATTGAATTCAAGAAGCAGTTCATCAAGATGAGGGCCAAATTGGTTGATCTGATCTACGAACTGCCTCCATTGCTAATGAGTAGTAACTCTGTGACATAACGCTTCCACGTTGATTTAGGATTTCAAATCAAGAATTTCGGGTTTCAAAACTAATACCTATTGTGTTGGTTTATTTGAGTTCGATTTTGCAATTTTTATTTCTCTTGATAAATTTAACCCTTTTCGCTCCGACCACCATACGTTGAAGTGAATATTTATACGCCGAAAAATTATAGTCTCCTTGATGTACATTTCAAAGCGATGGTTGGAGCTTCTGTTACTTTTGAACAGAGCGCGGGTCGTATTGTTTAATGTTTTGTTCCGGTTTTATTTGCGCCAATAGAGTTTTAAAGATCCTCAAAATATATTACAATTCTAGTGTAATCTTGTGTAATACTTATTTTTTTGTGCTCATTTGTCGCGTCCCTTAGCTGGTTTACTGAAAGTTTTTACTACAATTCAATATTCTTTCTGTCTGCTATTAGTTAGGTTTGTTTAAACAGGTTGGGCTAAACAAATGAATGACGCTAATTTTTGTCGGGTAGATTATAAAATGTGATCATTCAGATTCAAAATGAGTTCTAATCGTAGATTAGTTTCTGTTCTTCCTAAATTGTCCCAAGCCTCCAGAATGAGAGCGCGTCCTTTTCATAGTGTCATTTCGGTGCGGGATTTGTCATTCCAGTCTGGGTCCTTGGAGAGCAAGTTCCACGACATGAAAGGTAAAGTGAGCAGTCTGAAAACTGACCCTGGAAACGAGGTCAAACTGAAGATGTATGCTCTGTTCAAACAGTCTACAGAAGGAGATAACTCAGCCCCCAAACCGTCTGCTCTGAATTTTGTGGCCAAAGCAAAGTGGGACGCCTGGAACAACTTGAAGAGTTTGAGCAAAGACGATGCAATGAGTGAATATATTAAAATAGTTCAGGAATTAGTCTCGACTGAAGAACCAACATCAGACTCGGAGACAAAAGATTCCGAAAGTCTCTCGGGATCAAAGTATGAAACAGTTCTGTACGAAGTAAAAAATGGTTGCTGTAAAATCACGCTGAATAGACCACAGAAGTATAATGCTATAAATTTGAAGTGTTATGATGAAATAGGTATAGCCTTAGAAGAAGCTGCTAAAGATGATAATGTAGTTGTTGCGGCGTTGACGGGAAGTGGGACTTACTACTCGGCTGGAAACGACTTAAGTGGATTTTCACAACTTGCCCAGGAACATGGCGGGGACATGCAAAAAGGCGCACAGGCAGCGGGAAACATACTGGAGAAATTTGTGAGCAGTTTTATCAACTTTCTGAAACCTCTGATTGGTTTGATTAATGGACCGGCTGTAGGAATCAGTGTCACCACTTTGGGTCTGTTTGACATAGTTCTGGCATCGTCAAACGCGACATTCCAAACTCCGTTTCCTTCGTTAGGACAAACTCCTGAAGGGTGTTCTTCTTACACTTTCGCAAAATTGATGGGACATAATAAAGCAACCGAGATGCTTCTGTATGAAAAGAAACTTTCTGCAGTTGAAGCTTATGATAGAAATTTAGTCACTGAAGTCATTGACCAATCTAGTTTTGAACGAGTAATAGAAGAGCGTTTAAATTTCTACGCGTCTTTGCCGAGTAATAGTTTGGTCTACTCAAAGGGATTGATGAGGGATCGAAAAAGGGACAAGTTGATGACTGTGAACAGAGAAGAGTGTGACAGATTAGTGGAGAGATGGACTTCGGAAGAGTGCATAAGTGCAATCATGAAGTTCATGAGCAGAAAACAGTCCAAGATGTAAATTGTAAATAGTGCGAAATATTTATTATTCATTGTTTATTGAAATCACTTATCATCGAGACTTCTCTAATAAAATGGAAAAGCACACTGATATATATATTTTTTGAATTATTGAAAGAAATTCTCGTTTTGAAATGATATGGAAGTGGCATATCTATATTGAATGAGAAGCTCATCAATGGGCATATTTGTCTCTGTCTCCTGAGTGTAAAGATACTCAAAATATGCGTTTTTTCAGATTTCGAATTTTTACTGAGTTTAAATAGTGAGTGATGCTGGTGTGTTCTCTGGATTGCGATCGAGACCCAGTTTTTCTGGCCGGGGAGAAAATACAAGTGCGACTCACTATTCAGAACCAGTCTTCGGATGATGGCGAAGAAGAGAGTCTGGCTATCTGCACTGGACAATTGACATGCAGGTAAAAAAACATTCATTCTCCTTATAGTAATTTACGGTTTGTATGCAGCTTGCAATTTTGCAAGTTCTACGCGAGCTAGTAGACCAAAAAAATCATTTACATTGTTATTTGACGATTTTAAGTTTTGGTAGTTATTACCCTTGCAATAAGCAAGGGTATTGCAACCGGCTACAAGACTTTTTGTCCCGTAAAGAACTTCGTTCACAGGCTTCAGATTGCTTGCAGTACACTTCAACTGCATACGTCATATGCATGAGTCATATGTATGCAGTATTAGCGTCCTATTTTTGCTCATTGTTCTTCCGATAATTTTGCAATCGAAAATTTTCAACGAAATTTCGTGTTATTTTTCGACTTCGTCACTTTCGGCTGCTTTGTTGTTCGTTAAGTTTCTTTTTTACAAGCTTTTACTTGAATGTACAAGCTTCATTGAATGTTTTTTTATTAAGGGTAGAACATGAAGTAACTTGAAGGTTAGCTTCACCAGATGTCAAGATGCAGATTTTTTTGAACAATTTTTCGACCGAATTTACCTTTTTTAAGGCTCACATTTTTCAATAATTTACTAACCGTTTCTACGAACTATTTATCACTTTGTGTTTTCATTTTCAAAAAGAAAATTATTGTTTAGCGTTTTATGGTTTTTTTACACTCCAAAGTTTTTTGTTTGGAAAATATTTATTTTTTGCAATAATTTTACAGTTTTTTTTCCGATGCATTGTTTCTGTTTTTGTTTGCTAAAATGAGTAAAAACCGGTGTGTTTAAGTTTAATTGTGAAGTCCAGACTTATAAGTTAGTCTGCTTTGTTTTAGGCTGAAGTAATTTCTTTTAAAAAATTTGTAAAAACCAGAAAATGTTTTTTTTTTGCCTAAGATTCGATTAACGTATGATTTCAATTTTTTTCGGAAAATTTTTTGTTCAGGCTCAAATTCACGTTTTTGCGGTTTGACTTTTGGTTTGTTTTTAAGTTCAGTTCATTTCTTTTGTTGAAAGGAAGTCAAATTCCAATATCGAGCAACAAAAGTGTAAATTTCACGAAAAACATGATCGACTTCTAGTTTCGAAAGTGGAATTAAGTTTTCAGATTTCCCAGACAAATAAAAAAAAAACTACCTATTGATCTGTTTTCACAAATTGGGTCAATTCTATCTATAAAGTGGCAATTATAAATTGTTCTTGAATTTCAAAGATCTTTAAGGGCAACGTTTTTTTAAAAATAATTTTGCGACTTTTTCAAAAATAGTCGTGTTTTTGTTTACTTGCGTTCATTGACCCTTTTACAGCTGTCTGTTGGCTATGTTTGACTTGACTGTGACGGCTACGAAGAATGCGCACGAGATTTAAGAATATGATTAATATTTAAGAGTATGTATTTAAGAGAAGGGAGAAAATGAAATTCGTATTTTGTTTTAATCAAGTTTTCTTGCGTATCATTTTGATATTTCATCAGTTTGATGTAATCGGGTTATTTTATTAGGCTTTCAGAGTTTTTTTCAATTTTCTACAATTTTTTGCGGCAATTGTTCATTTTTGAATTCATTTTTCGAATTTTTTTTTTCACGTGTGATTTCATTTTCTTTTCAGTTTTTTTTATCGCAAGTGGTGCGAAGCTCAGCTTCGCTTGTGTTACACTTTGCGGTTAGCAAATGGGATGGGACTTTTTTCTGTTTATTTACTTGAGTAACTTAATTTTTATTTTATTTTTTATTTAAATATTCATCATGAGTAATCAAATTATCATAACACAATAAGCAAAAATTCAAAAATAACTCATGATAGGACAACCAGAAAGCCAACGAGAGGCTTGTTGAAGGTTGCCCCGTAAAGGAATCACATCATATGACATCAGATCAAAAGGTTCAATAATTAATTTAGGTCAAAGAGGCAAATTTAAAGCGAAAAAAAAAACGAGACTTAAATAGTGCAATCACTCTTTTTTTTTAATTCAAGAGCTTTATTCTTTAACATGAGAACCAGAGATATGATGCAAGCTTATACTTACAAGGGTATACAACTGACAGCGGGCGGATGCGAAATAATGACTGTTAATTTAATTTTGCAAACTGCTCCATAAACAAGAACTCCATATTGAACACAAGGTTGTACATAAGTTTTGTAGTACATGACCATTTGTGAAATGGTCATCACATTACGAAGCCGGTATGCAACTCTGCAGAAGCGGGTTAATTTTTTCCGTATAGTCTCAATATGATCTTTGAAGGATAGTTTATTATCCAATTCAATGCCTAGGTATTTGCAGCTAGCAACGGGTTGTAAACAAGTGTCTGCGAAATATATAGCATCAGCTTTGGATTTTGAAAAAATTAGTAGCTTAGACTTCGATCCTTCTACGGTAAGTTTATTAAACTTCATCCAATTATCTATTCGATTTAGATCTTCTTGAAAGTCATCAAGGGAAGCGTTTTTGTTTTTAATATCAGATGTATCGTCAGCAAACAAAGTAAGTCGGCAATTTCTTACAATTCTGGGAAGGTCATTGATATAGATCAAAAAGAGCAACGGTCCTAAGACTGAACCCTGTGGCACCCCGCACAAAACATCTTTCAATTCGCTTTTAAATTGATTAAGGACAACATACTGTTTCCTATTAGACAAGTAACTTCTTAGAATTTCCAGCGACTTTCCTCTTACTCCATACCGATCTAATTTATCAATTAAGATCACATGATTGACAGTGTTAAAAGCTTTTTTCAGATCTAATAAAACTAACATAACGTCTTTTTTCTTCTGATCTCGTAGGTTACGAACCTCTTCTGTTAGATCTAGAACCGCTTTAACTGTGCTTAATTTACTACGGAAGCCATATTGATTTGTACTGAGCAACTTGCAATTTTCCAAATAACTACTTAATCTGATATGAATTGTCTTCTCAAAGATTTTTGACAGCGTTGATAACAAAGATATGGGTCGATAATTTCCATATTCGTCTTGCAATCCACCTTTATGAATCGGAAAAACTTTAGCAATTTTTAAGTATTTCGGATAGCACCCATTTGTGTAGCAGGTATTGAAAAAGTTCGTGAGCCATGGCGTGATTATTGGTTTACATAATTTGACTATTGCTGTATTGATGCAATCACAACCCGAGCTGAGTTTATTTGGTAATTCTGTTATTATTTGTTCTATTTCTGTTTCCTTTATACTCGGGAAGAACATTGAATAATCAACATTTTCTAATGAAATAGGATCTGCAACTTCAATTTTATCACTTAGATTTGGACCAATATTTACAAAAAAATTGTTCATATCTTGAGCTTTTTTTTCATTTATATCATCTGGCAACGTTACATTTTTATGTTTTCCAAGATATGCTGCAACCGCTTTGTGATACTTATGAGAGTCTGTTGTATTTAGCTTAGATCTCCAGAATCTTCTGAATGATTTCCGATTCAGGGCATTGGATTTGTTTCGTAATGAGTTATATTTGATCTTGTTTTCTTCTGTAGGGTTTTGTATATATGTCCTGTATGCGGATGCTTTTTTGTTTGCTACTTTTTTCACTTCATTTGTCACCCAGGACTTGTTATTTTTCGGCACATAACGAGTTTGAGAGGGAGCAAATCTATCAATGCAACTGAGAATTATTTCAGAGAAATTTTCAGCAGATTTATCCAAATCGGATAAGGTACCATCAACTTCCTTCAGTTTGGACTGTAAGAGGAAAGCAAACCTGTCTGCTGCTTGTTCTTGTCGGTTCAGTTACCTCAGCTTCAGTGCGGACTGAGTTATGGTTTAAGCTAAAATTCATTGTTCTGACCGTGGCAAAAAAAAGATCTTAATAGAACTCTTTTTTTTTCGAATTTATGATATTGGTCTGTTTGCGTTTAAAAAGAAAATTCATTTCCTCTATTTTGTTCCCATTAAAGATTCCGTCACCGGTTTCGACTTTCCCAATTTGCTAAATGAGCTTATGCGAACTACTAGTACAACAGAGAAATGCGCGATTGTCTACTCTTTACCTACTTAAAACATTTTGAAAAAAATATGAAGTAGGCTCGGATATCAGAATTAAGATTTTCTCAAGGAAAGTGGAGTTTCAAAAATGTTTTAAAATTTTGTCTCAATGTTTTAATGGGCCAGCCAGTTTTAATTTTTGAGCTCCTCCAAACTAAACAAAAAACGCCACCTTTTGAAATGAGTTCAGTTATATACAAATAAGTTTAACGTTGATTGTTAATTAGGTGTGCAGTGAATGGGAACAGAGTGAACAAAGAAGCAGCGGAGAGTAACATGTCATCATTCTTCAACAGCACCACCACCAATACTTTTTCCAAGACTACCTCTGGTGTATCTTCGTACAAAAAGAATACTAACCACTACCAACTGGGGGCATCTAACACTTCATTCAATATTGCACAGGTAAGCACATAGAGATAGACCAGTTTTGCCGACATGATATGTATTTTTAAGAAAGTTTTGCTCGTATAAGCATTCTATTGGTTGTTAATTATTTATTTGTTTTTTAGTTACTGAATTGTAACGAAAGATTGTTCTTGATATCGTATGCCAAAAACACGGGGTCATTTGCTGAAGATCACTTCAACATCAGAAAAATATATAGTACTGTCCAAATAGATTTCTATTTATCCCTAGGATGAGAAAGGCTACAACGTGTTCTGTACGAAACCAGAGATCATCAGTTGTGATTTGAGTTTGAGCAAGAATGAGAGTATCTCTTACGCCTTCTGTGTGCAACTGCCCACTTCGTCAGAGATGGTGCCTCCCTCATTCAACGGTCACTGTGTGCGCTTCACTTACAAACTCCTGTTCGGGTTCCAGAAGTTATGCATTTAATCTATTTCTTACTTTGTAATGATACCAATGCCAAATACATTTATTTACAGGATTCCTTGTATTTTGATTGATTTTCAAAAATTTTTGTTGAAGGTGGGCCAGCCAATGCAGATGATCAAGTGTCCCGTTAGGGTACTGACTCTATGTCACAAACTTCACGGCGAATATCTTTCAGCAATATCAATGAATTGTAAGTTTTTTGTTCGATTACCTTAGATAATGCTGGTCTTCGAAAGTTTAATTTTAGCTATCCAGTTGTAATGGCAATTTGTGGAGCTGATGATAACTAGAAATACCTTTGAGACATATGAGCGGCTCCAAAAACTTCATCGAGAATGAACCTCAATATTCGAGTGCAACTGACAAATATCAGTTTGTATTCGGGTTTACAATAAAAATCTGGGCAGCTCCTATTTTGCTTTTGTTGGCTTTTTAGCCTCGCGAGACCCCATGACAGGTGGAAATAGTCCTTCAAGTAGGAAGTACAGTCCGCTTGATCTCAGTGAAAAGGAAAAAGAGAACCCTTTCCACGAGGAATCAGAAATTCACCTGAAGTCAACGGAGGAGTATGATCAGCAGGTAATTTTCAAGCTTTTCTGTTCCCTTGTTTTTTTTAAGTTGTGTTTGCTGAGGGTTAGTTTTTTTCTGTGCTCATTTTTTGGGTTTTATGAGTCCTTCTTGCCGTTTTTCACTCGTTTGCGTCAATGCGTATTGATCGATTCTATCTAAGAATGCCACCAGCATTAAATTGATCAAATCTGAACAGTCGCTTTCAAGTTATTGTTCTGACCATAAAAATGGAGGAAACTTGTATTCGGGTGGGTTTTAGTGTTTTCTTTTTTTTTTCACGCAAAATCAGGTACCTCAAATATTCAGGAGACTGTATCGAATTATATATCATATTAAAGCCCTATTAGTCCAGACAAGAACGACATTAAAAAAGTGTTAAAAATTTTTGACTTTAGGTCTAATTTCGAGCGAATATGTGAGCGAGCAGGTTTCTTTTGTTGTTCAACCAAAAAATTTACCACAAATAATCTTTGTATTGGAGGGAAAAATATATCATATTAAAGCCCTTGCAATCCTGATTGGTACGATTTTAGAAAATTTTAAAAACTTTCCCACAGTCGAGAAAACTGGGTTTGAAATTTTGAGTTTGTCTGATTTTGAGCGATTAAAGGTGGCGAGCAGGCGTATTATAGAAGGATAGTTATCAAATTTTAGTGACATTCTGGAAATTTTAATGTAATTTATACAACTAGCCAAGAGTAACAATAATTTTATTCAATTGATTTTTTTTCATAGAATTCAAGTGAGAAGGTTAATAGTACGTGTTTCAATTTGGATTAGGATATATTAAGAAAATAGATTCAACAGCTGATTCTGCCCATTGGGCGCACAGGTAACGCCGATGCGTGGTACAGCATAGGCAAGGTTTGAAGTCGAAGAGAAACCTATAATTTTGAAAGTCAAAGGGTCTTTTTCAGTTTCCTTGTTCATGAATTCTTTACCAACTGTCTGTTGCCTCTGTTTTTCAATAGAGCTAGCTGGCCTTTCCTTATAGGTTGCCATGGAAACGGAGATTGCGATGCAGAGTCTTAGTCTATCACACAGAGGGGTAGGAGGACCGAACAAGGGGGGAAATGCAGTGGCATACAGTGTGCGAAATGGACAGACGGAGATAGCCAAGTTCTCACTGGCCAAGTCCGCATTCCGAATAGGAGAGGAGATATCCGGTCAGTGTCTGTTTAATGAATTATAGAAGATAAGAAATGTTTTTGACGCCAGTTCCGGATTAAAGTTTTGGATTTTTGGTCAATTTTCGAGCTAATAAGGTGACCGTGCATGCTTACAGTAGCTTATTTAAGCTTGAGTAAAATAAGTTTTTAGCGTCATTTTGGGAATCAAATTTTCAAAAATTCACAAAAAAATATTGCTAAAAATTTGAAATATTTGTTTTCGTTTTTCTGGTCATTTTTTTTTACAAAAACTGTTTACCAATTGGAATTTTTTTTATGACTGTCGAATATGTCCAATTTATTTTATCACACCATGCAGAAAAAATGACTCAATTTGAATTTTTTTTGTTTTTTTAAGACTATGCTCGGAACATTCTGTGCAAAGAAACCGGCTATCCTTGTTTGCGCTTGGGATTAGCCAGGGGCGTGTTTATGTGGAAGGGCAGATGTTCCTTCAGGGATTCGACCCCCTCACCAACCAAAGGGCCCCCTTTGGTATATTTTTATTACAATCATTGACCTGTTTTTCAGAAATTTCCCTGCGGAGCAAAGGTTTTGGTCAAAACAGGGTCTTAACTGTGTTCTGGGAGTGCTCTGAAAAAATCGACAAAAAGGCTTTGCCTCTGTGTTGAATGTTTCAGGATCTTTTCGCATCGATAACTCGTATTTGCGTGTTTATGCTTAGGATTCTTTGAGTTCAACCCCTTCCCTAGATACTGTCTGCAATACACTGTGAATCTGCAATGCGAGGAACGCCTCTCCGACCAGTTCCGACTGGACGCTTCGTCCAACATCAATCAGCCGGAGTGTTTTGGATCCAAGTGTGAATACGTAGCAGACATCTCCCACTGTGAACTATCACTCCCCATTCCACATTCAGTCACGCCTTCGTTCACCACAGAACTGGTATAAAGTGATAGCATACAAACTTATCATGATTAAAAGACCACAAAATAATAGCGCAGAAATTTGTTAAAACTGATCATCATGAAATACCCAAGTGGCGAAATCTTTGTGACCCTCAAAACTATTTTTATGTGCAAAGCTCACAAAAAAACTGAGATTTTTTTGCAGAGGGTTCCCCCGACCTGACATGTGACAGATAAACCCCTGTTGCAATTGTCTTTGTACAAGCAAAGCTTGTGTGATAGTATGATTCTCTTTTTTCGTAGCTAAGTCGCAAATATTAGTGTTCATTTTGAAAGTGTTCATTTTGATCAATAACCATCTATTAAGTACAGCCAATGCCAAGGATATTAACAAAGACTATTATATTGCAAATAGCCTTTTAGCTTCAAGGTATCATGGATCTAGCGTAGAAGTAGGGAAGGAGACCCACAATAAACTAAGAGGGTTCGAACCTGGGCAGGGTCGGATGTTTTAAATGAACTTTTTCGTATACTAGTTAAAATACGTCCGCGCTATAAATTGAGAAAGGTTAGTTATCGGTCATATTTTTGCTTGTGTGTGCGAAGTGCAACTTCGCCTCTGTGTCTACTTTTAGGTGTCTCTGGTCTGGAGTCTGCAATTTACTTTCATCATATCAACTGATAGCCACCCTGACATCGCCACTCAATTCACAAATACCTCTTTTGACGACGAAAATGACGACCAGATTGTAAATTACAGTTGTCCCACTAGTTACGAGACGTTCTCTTGGACACTTCCCATCACATTGTTGCCCAATAACCCTTTTAAGCTCCAAAGCTGCTCAGTGGGCCTGAAAAGAAATCACACTCTAAACATGACTTGAATCAAAACTATAATTTATCTTATTAAAGATTTTGGATTGAATTTTATTTGCGGTGTATCAACGATAGGTCAAAGAAATTATATGATATATACTTAAGCGTTAAATGATAATTCTTTAAGACCGCTACGAAATGTACTCTTTAAGTCTTAAGTGTTCGATTCTTTTCAGAGGTGTTTGATTTTATTTGGGCAGCATGTCAACTGAACTACAAACTACAAAAACAGCTTCTGGGTCTAATATGGAAACGGAGGATACGGGAGAATCAGTTGAAATATCTCCTCCCAAAATGGCACCTCTGACCACTAACGAACTAGCATCGGAATCCGACGGTGTCAAGGTGAGATAGGTGTTTTTTATTTAGCTATATTCGTTTTCTCGCCTTATTGCTAACTCGTCATTCGTATTACCATTTGCATAGTCCTATGATTCTAACATCTGATATTACTGTGTAAGGTTTGAAAAATTGTGTTCACAATGGTGTAGTTGTTCGCCAGGCAAAGTATCATCATATTCAATTAGTTTTTCAAAGATGAAAATCAAACGCGGGGTGGAGTTGAAGCAGTGATGTCACTAAAAAATAACAATTCAAATTTCAATTTATTTTAGTCTGAAATTGTGAGCCACTCAATTTAAATGAAAAATTTTAATTTAAATCGAACAATTTAGTTGGAAAAAAATGAATTGCTGGGGCGGTATTCGATCCGGCGCTAAAGTAAACATTTAAGTTGTGTCAATTATTTTCACATTTCAGCGGAAAAAGCAAACAATCGAAGTTTTCACTTCAAAAATGAGAAGATGTTGTTTAAATAGATATGCTCAAAAAAGTTGCTTTCGATTTATATTTTCAAAATTGCCGAAAGTACCTAAAATGGCAGAAAATCTGCTAAAAACAGACTTAAATTGCTAAAGAAAAATTTAAATTGTTCAGAAAAATTTAAATTGATGCCAGCAAGTTCTATAATTTTCTTGAACAATTTTAATTTGAATTTAAGTTTTTATTTTTTAAGGACATCACTGAATTGAAGTATTAAAGAGCTGAAACGCGTAGCTGTTCCTTAAAGGGCAGGCTTGAGAATTAAAACCGATCAGGAAAATAAGGAAACCTGGTACTGTTCATATGGAATTTATCAACAAACTTCTTGCATAAATCGAAGCGAAACGACCTGTTTGTTTTCCCTCCCCAAGTTATAACTGCTTTTATTTTAAGTGTTTCTAGGTAGAGAAGAGGATGTTAAGAGTTCCGAAGATTCGGTACCCTCCTCTGAAGAAGAACTGGATGAAGATATGCACACCTATTGTAGAGCACCTGTTGTTGCAGGTCAGGTTCAACACCAAGACCAACTGTGTAGAGATCAGGTCCTGCAACGAGACCAAAGACATCAATGCTATTCAGAAGGCAAGCACTCATAATTTTAATATATATTAAGAGTCTATCATATAGGTCTCGGTGATTTTTTTTTCAGGACAAAGTCATATATTGTTCACGCTCAGATTTGATTTTTTGCGGTTTGACTTTTGATTTCCTTTCAAGAGTAATGAACTTAATGAAAACTGTTTTATAGGTCTTGTTGATTTTTTTCAGGACCAAGTGTAAATTTGTTCGCGCTAAGATTTGATTTTTCGCGGTTTGACAGTTGATTTCTTTTTGTTAAAAGGAAGGCAAATTTCACTATCGAACAGCAAAAGGTCAGGAAAAACGTGATCGACTTCTAGTTTCGAAAGTGGATTTTCATTTGACACTGTTTTCTCAATTGGGGTAATTTTATCAAAGAAGTAGTATCAATCATAACTTGTTCCTGAAATTCGAAGAGCTTCAAGGCGATACATTTTTTTCTTCAAAGTTGGAACGTTTTTCGAAGTTTTCAGTTTCCTTGCGTTCATGGCTTTTTTAACTGTCTGTTGGCTGTGTTTCAATATTTTATTTGCATGTTTGAATATGTGCAATTTTCAGTCTAGCCTGAGGGCATATTTAAAACTAAGATTTAGTTTTTCTGATTTTCGCTTTGGCCCTGGTGCTTGCTTACATTTTGGGATTCTTTTTTCGTTTTATTTCGGGCTTTCAGGTCTACTTGCAATGTATGACTAATGTACTTCTTTTTCGCAGGCAGAAGACTTTGTCCAGGCTTATCTCTATGGCTTTGAACTGGAAGATTCTCTCGCTCTTATTCGTCTGGACGATCTGTTTGTAGACACATTCGAAGTGAAAGACGTGAAGGTTCTAAGTGGAAACCATCTATCACGTGCAATCGGAAGAGTTGCCGGGAAGAATGGAAAGATCAAATACACGATAGAGAATGTCACTCGCACCAGAATTGTAGTCGCGGGTTCTAAGATTCACATTTTGGGCAGTTACCAGAACATCAGAACTGCTAGACGCGCAATCTGTAATCTCATTTTGGGCAAACCGCCATCGAAAGTCTACGGAAATATGAGAGCCGTAGCGAACAGATTGGCTGAAAAGCTTTGATTGTTTATGCTTTGCGAATAGTTACTTTGAAAAAAAATGTGCCCAACTTTCTCTTTTCTCTGAGAATATGAACAGCATGTATCTCGTTTTTTGATTTACGGAGAATAATCTCGTTTATCAAGTTAAAAGCATGTATCTCGTTTTTGATTTACGGAGAATAATCTCGTTTATCAAGTTAATACATATTAACATCTGCTTTTGCAAAAGGATTACTCCGTTTTCTAAAATGTATAACTGACTTTTACAGTTTGTGTGCAAGCTGAATTCTTGTGGTTTAGAAATCGAATGCGTGTGAAGAAACAGATTTCAAACCTAATAGTTCTAATTTTAGGAGTCCCAAATTTTGAACGATTTCAATTCCCTTCATAGTTGCCGCTTTACTGCTGCTGATAAGGTTTGATTGTTTGGATTCAGAGGATGTATGGAGTCGGGGGTGGTAGTTCCGACAACGATGGAGAGTTCTGTTCAGCCGCGGTCGGAGGTGGAGAAGGCAAACGATGGGTACCGGTGAAGCTGACCTTCGTGTCTTACCCCGAGGGCGACTGGGTGGGACACATACTGGCCTGGTTCTCCCTCGCTCCTGTCCTCCTTATCGCTGCTACTTTAGGGGTGTGTCTGTTCAGAAGGGAGGTGCAGATTGTGGTGTTCTTGGCCGGCGTAGTCATCAACGAGGCCATCAACTTGGTCAGTTCTCAATCACTTTTCCTGTTTTTTTTTGAGAATGCATTGTTATGCAGTATAAAACGTCATTAGAATTGCCGAAAATATTGATGAAATTTTGAAAGTTCCGACCGGCGAATTTTTGGTTTTGCCCCATTAACCTGAGAACTTTTTGCATTAATTTGATTCCCTTTCGAGAGATCAGCAAAAAAGATTTTTTTTCTATACGCTTATGTCCAACAATTGACCAGGTTTCAAAGAAGTTGATAAATCAGCCGCGGCCCTGTTCGCAACATGACATGAGTCTGCAGCACAGTGAGTTGGGGATGCCTTCCTCCCACGCCCAGTTCATCTCCTTCTTCTGTCTCTATCTCTCCCTCTTCGTCACCCTCAGAGTGCCACACCTCTCCTCTCATTCATCATATTCATCCTCTTCTTCGTCCTCACATCATCACAATAACAGCAACAGCAACAGCAACTCTGGAGGAACAGCAGCAACTACCGCCATGTGAGTATGAGTTATTTACTGGTTTTTCAGCTGCTCAAAAAAGTTGGTAAAGGAAACGACAGTACGGTAGACAAATGATGCAGCAAATACTAAAATGCAACGCTTGAACTAACCTGTAGTCTCTATAAAAATAATCATTATCAAGATATCGCTGTTATATATATCGCGGTAAGCTGTGTTAAAATATCACTCGCTATGGTAATTTTATATCATTTCAATTAGCAACAGGTGCCTTTTAGGTCCAACAATTCGGCCTCTCCGAATGGTAATGCGGTTGGTGGTGGTTCCACAGGAGTCTATTATCCCAGTGCGTACAGCTATAGCAGTGCCTGCTCTTCTGTGAGTGACATATTGAGCTACTTGAGGTGTTGGTGGAAGCTCACTCTCAACATCTCTTTCATGTCCTTTGCTTTCATCGTGTCTTACAGCAGAGTCTATTTGCAGTACCACACATGGGCCCAGATATGTGTCGGAACATTCTGTGGAGTAAGTAGCATTGCAGAGAGTTTGTTGCGCTTGCGATAGTGAATGTTATCAAAGCAGAACATATACTTTTTTCAGGTTAAAAACTTGTCTAACAGAATGACTGTATCATTTGATAGCTTGATATCTCATTCAAGTTCAGTTCTTATTCTGCATATTTCACTATGTGATAAAGTCTATGCCTGGAAAGTCAGAGGTTCTGGTATAGAATCCGTTCAGTACCTGTTATTTGTGGAAACTGGAAATTTTGCGCTGGAAAAAATAATTGTCGGCCCATCTTTCTGCTTATTTTTTTGCCTCAACACGAAATTTTCTTTCGTTATTTCAGCAGGTCTATCAGCAGTACTATAATTAAACATCTTTTTTTTTGTAATCTTTAATGGTGTAGGCAATTGAGTTACATGAAGTTAGCTATTTTTTTTTGAATTATTTTGAACAATTTTGAGACGTCTTTGGATATTATATTTTGTCTTTAAATTCTCCTCTTAATTACATGAAGCAATGAATAGTCTTGTCTCAAATATTCTATTTTTGCCATGTTCAAATCATTTGCCTCGTTTGAGTTAGTCCAATGGGCTTTTACACTTGCGAGTTATCGGAAACTAGACGTTTTTTCCCGTAAACACTTTTTCGAGTTATCGGAAACTAGACGTTTTTTCCCGTAAACAATTTTTTGTTATAAATCTGTGGGAATTTGAACCTGCTTTATTGTTGAACCTTGACAACTGCTTCGCTCCTTGCCACTTGGCCTACAGGTAACGCAGTTTCCTCTGCATCCTACGGTGTGGGCTTTGTTTTTTTTTCAGTATGTATGAAATTGAATCTGTGTCCGGGGAAACATTGTGGGTATTTCATTTGTTTTCTCTTTTTTTTCGGCTTTCTTGGCACATCGCTGATAATGTTCTGTAACTCGATTTGTGTTGTAGAGTTTGTTTGCTCTTGTGTGGTATGTGGCGACTGTGGTGCTGTTTGTACCCCGCTACCACTTGATAGTGTCGAACAGGGTGGGGGAGTTTCTAATGCTCAGGGACTCCAGCCTCATTCCCAATGTGCTCCTGTTCGAGTATGTCAAGGCACGCACAGAGGCACAAGCCAGACAGCGCAAACTCCAACCGGACAGCAACCACTGCAGCTGACCATGCAAATCCAGATGAAAGAGAAGCAAAGATAGTGTTACATGACAAAAAAATTAGTCAAATTATTATTTATAAAACGATGGGTGTTAGCACAGTCGATATTTTGGTGTCACGGCAAAGAAAATTCAGATGCCAAGACCAAACGCAATAAGTTCAATGAATTAATGAACGAATATTTCCTTGGTGTTTTTATTTTCTTAATTCGAAAAGTCATTTGAATAACGAGACCGTTCCATAGCTCTACAAATGAATCATCATCGCAAGTTTTGCCAAATACAATCTTTTCATTATTCAGGGTTATTATATTACACGCAAAAAATGCTAGTATCTTTCATGGCATAGAAAATCCTGTACGAGAAAAAAAATTATGTCGAACTTCACAAAAGTAGATAACCATCTAAATCCAAATCCCCTCCCCCACTAAACATCAACACAGTTTAGTCTATCGCCAGGACTCTTGACTTGTCCATAAAACCAATATTGTTGGTATGATTTCTTCTCTATGATTTTGTTTTCGTTTCATTTGATGTTCTTCTATAAACCATATTTGTTTTTATTTAAGTAGTGATATTCTATTTTGTCCTTATTATTTATGAATGAATTCACTGTTCGCAGAAATGAAAATTATTTTGTAATGACTAATTTTATTCTTAGTTTTTGCAACAGAGTTGAGTTGTGAAGCAATAGAATAGTTTGTTCGAGATAAACCATTTAATGAATACCATTTTACATAAAAAATATAATGATTATTTTTTTTGTATGAAGCAGCGCCTTATTACGATTTTTCTGCCGAGTAACGCGATAGGACGAAGATCCTGGTCAAAAACAAAATCAGAAACTTGAAGAAGTTAAAACATAATTTTAAGGCGTTTTGCTTTTGCAGCCTGGTCGGTTTTTACGAAAAGACCGTGGGGTATTTTTTTGGCATAGTTTTTCGAAGTTTTGACGTTTTAACTAGTTTGTGGTCGCTTAAGTTGCTATTAAATTTCGAATTGTTTTTCAGATGTGTGAATGAATTAATCAATGCCAGACTGATCTTGTTCTCTTCTTCGCTCCTTTTAGTAGACTTAGAGAGAAAAGCACCATCACTCTCCTCACCAGAAAAGCACCACCACAGTTATATCATCACCCCAGACAGAAATAATGAAGGAGACAGACAACTTGACGGGCAGGGAGCGAAAAGTCAGTTCAGAGTAAGTCATGTTTAGGTCATCATGGACGCGATGTGCAGCGAATATTAGAGTGCGCTCTACTTTTTTTAAACTAAAATGAACTCGAAACACAATGAGACTAGCTTTTGCATTTGGGCATCAAGTCTTAGTACACTTTGGAATGTTTGACAGACGGCGAGAATTCTCTTTCTGTTAGAGAACTTATATAGGTCGTGGTTTTTCGCGGTTTGACTTATGAGTTTTTTAAGTTCAGTTCAATTGTCCTGTTAAAAGGAAGACAAACTCAACCGTCGAACTGCAATAGAGTAAGGGCACTAAAAACGTTGTCAACTTCTAATTTCGTAAGCGGAATTTAGTTTTCTGATTTCTCAGCGGAATACAAAAACAACCTATTGATCGAGTTTTCTCAAGTTGAGTTCTCTTAATTTCGTTTTTTTTTAATAGATTTTCCTGCGGAATAAAAACTTTACTTAACGCCGGTTTTCTCACATTGAATTCATGTTATCAGCAACGTGTCAAAAAGTGTTTCTGAAACTCAAAGAGCTTTAAAGAGCCTTGCAATTCAAAGAGCCATGTATTTTTTCTTTGAAATTCGGAAGGTAAAGTTTTTCAGAAAAGTTGTTTTCTGTTTGTTTGCGTTCATTGACACTTTTCCAACTATATGTTTGCTATGTTGATTAGTATCAATCCTAAGGTTTTAAGTATCAATCCTAAGCGAAAAGTCAGTTCAGAGAAAGTCATGTTTAAGTCAGCATGGACGCGATGTGAAACGAATATTAAAGTGAGCTCTACTTTTTTAAAACTTAAAATGAACTCGAAACACAATCAGACAAGCGTTTGCATTTGGGCATCAGGATTTTGTACACTTTTGAATATTCTCTTCCTGTTAGAGAACATTGATAATTGTACGTCTACTCTGGGTTAACTTCTCACAAAAATCAGACAGCGAAATCGTTACAAAATAAAGCAAGGATATGCGAATTGTGCGTGTTTTTCGTGTGACCAAAGTTAACTAGACTGGATAATTAATCGTTTGTCGTCGGGTTTGGGACTATGAAGTGAAAGGTCGGTGACCCCTAATGAATTATTCTCAAGGACCCAATATTTCTTTGATACGGTAAGAAAGTGTTAAAAACGGTCATGTCGCCATCTTGTAGTTCATTCAAGTTTTGACAATTAAATTACGAGCAAAGAAATTTTTCTCGTTCGTTTTTTTTTCAACGTTCAATATAAATAACAAATCATCAACATATAGTTGGTATTCAAGCCGGATGAGAAAATAAATTAACATATTGGAAAGAGGTAGATACAAAAAAGGAAGCACCCGAGGAGCGAGTACTGTGGAACACCTTGTCCTATGGTAATCTCATCTGAAAAATGTTTGGTTACTTGGCCCGATAAGACTCAATCCACTGTAGTACAGTGCTTCCTAAACCAACTGTAGTTCGTAGAAATTTCAGAATTTCGTGTGATTTAGTGTCGATAGCCGCTGTTAGATCACGTGATAGTAGAGCAACTGTTTTTTCTAAGGGCCGTTTCAGTAGAAAAAGACTTTTGTCTAAGCAGATTGTTGTTTATCTCAAAGCAAATGTAATCGAGGTAATTTCGACTTTTGTCCAATATTTTTAATTGATATGTACATAAGCGTTTTGAAACCATTAGTTATATGCAAAATATAGCTTCGCCTCGAACATGTAGATTACAAATCATAAACAAATAAATGCGAAAAACAAAGGAACACTGAAGAATCCATCGGAAACTCTGGCATTGGCATCCTCGAAATTACGATGTTATTTAATCGGCCGTTTCGTTTTAGAGGTGAAAGTCTGTACAAACTGCTCCAGGTGGAAAAGAAGGCCACGCCAGAAGAGATTAAAAAGAGTTACAGAAAGGTTGGTTTTTCTATCAATTCCAATATAAAATATGAAATGAGTTATCTTGCTTTTAATATATTGTGTTTCAGTTAGCCTTGAAATACCACCCAGACAAGAACAGGGATAATCCAGATGCGGCTGAAACTGTAAGTTGAATCAAGAGTGTGAATACAATATCTGGCTCCAGATTTGGATTCTAAAATACAAGCTATTCGACGAATCTGATTGGTCGGGCTGCTGAAATATTATTTAATGAGAGGTCAACAGTAAAGTTTTCAGCCTGAGTGACCTAGCATAGAAATCCAAATGTGTTCAGCATAAAAATTCGTAATTTTTCTCGTATTAATCAGCGGAATTATTTTTTCAAATTTATGTTTCTGTGGATGAAGCTTGCTCATGTTAAAAGTATTTATTTTTCGATCTATTCAAAAAAGGTAATAAATAAAAAAAATGTATTTTAAAGAATTATGAACTATTGTTTGTTTTGTAATGTTTTTTGACCTTTTGCCCTCTGTTTGCTTAGTTCAAAGAGATCAGTCGTGCAAATGCTGTGTTGTCGGATGAGGCAAAGCGAGACATCTACGACAAGTATGGCAGCAAAGGCCTCCAGATGCTAGAACAGATGGGACCAGAGGTGTGTTAGAGTAATGTTAATTATTAATCCTGAAATTTTTACTAGAGAGCCATGGGTTGCTCAGCTCCAGCGTACTAAAATAACAAGGGCCATCATGAAAGGTATCCTTTGTTTTGTTTGTTTCGTACTAAAATGATTGTAAAAAAACGTACCTTGTGAGAAGCTAAGTTTTTAACTCAGCCATACGCCGATGGTCCGCATTCGTTATGTGGTTATATCACTGATAAAGCTTGTAACCGATCAAAAATCAATTAAATCATTTTTGCGCTTCCAGAAGAGAAACGAACTATTTGAAACTGGCCAAAATAATAATAATTTTTCATTGTGGTTGCTAGGCGTTGAAAGTTTGGATGAAGATGGATACTCCTCTGGCCAAGTGCTGTTTCATTTCGATCTTCTGTCTGTCTGGCTGCTGCTGCTGTTTGTGCTGTTGTTGCTGCTGCAACTGTTGCTGCGGCAAGTTCAAGCCGGCCGGCGACGAAACAGATGGACAGTTCAATCCAGAAGACCTCTATGATGACAACCAGAACGGAGAACCTGTCACCGTACAACCATGTAAGTGAAGTGCAAATAACAAAAATATACTTGCGAATAATACTTACATGAGTTTCTGGTATTTTAACTTGTTTCTGAACGTAATTTCACTCATGGAATTTAAGAGAATTTATAATGCAATGATTCATTTTCTTGTTACAGCCTTCAAACTCCCTGAAACAATTGCGTGGTTTTATTACGACTTCGCTTTTTTCCAAACAGTCACACGTTTTTTTTTGTGCAACTTTTTTAAGTCAGTTTCATTAAAGTACAATCGATGTTTTCCCAGTTTCCTTAAATTAAGTGAATTTTACTGAAATAAAAATGACGAATGTGAAAAGCAAAATATTTGGCCATGTTTTGGAAATAATTTACTGTTAATCGGCTTGTGGTAAAAAGTAGTTTTGAATGGTTTTTGAAAAGGTCCATATTGCATAGTTGTGTTCCACATTCGCCAAAACTTAAATTTTTTTTTTCGAGAAATTTATTTTAAAAAATTCAATGTAAAGTTGTTCGCTCTCTCATTGGTTTAAATGCGAAAACTTCCTTATTGAAAAATATTGAGTATTATAAGCACCCAAGTGAAGGCTTGTGAGTAATAACCAATTCACTTTTTCAAAGCCAAGTGGCCGTTTGTGTTACTTTTCTGTGTTTAATTTTTTTTACAGTACATGCGTTTAATCCTGCGTATAATTACTTGGATAATACGCACATCCACTTCGATTTTTTTATGTATTTTTGGTTAACGAAAGACTATTTACCCTTGCGATTAGCAGATATATTACAATCGGGCATTATACTTTTTCCCCGTAAACAAATTTGTCCTCAGGATGACTGAATTTTGTGGTCATATCCAAATGATTTCTGCCCACCTATTTTTACCCAACTTGGGCGTCTAACAGCTGTAATTCAACAGCTGGATCAACGACTGAATTGATAATTGTTTTACTGCTGAAAAATCTTTTAGATGTGCGTTGATTTTTTGTCGGCTTTTGATTTCAACCCAATTTTTGTCGGCTTACTTGCCGGGTAATTAGTTTTCTAATTGTTGATAGATATTTGAAGCAATGTTTTTCTTCACTTTCATGAGGGTAAATATAGTTCATGGGTTTCTGGTTTTTACAGGCGTCAAAGTTTTCTGTTGGAAATAAAAAAATTTTGAACGTATTGTTTCAATATGTCAAAAAAATTGATAAATTTCCCGGTTTAACGTATTGTTTCAATGTCAAAAAAAAATTGTTAAATTTCCCGGTTTTTTTGCAAGAGTGACTCGACTTTTTCTGTGCGAAGAAACGTGGTGGCAAGTTCTGCACGAAATCCTTGATTGTGATTCTTTCTGGCTGAAGTTTTTGATATTTCCTTTGTTGGAGGTTTTTTTATTTCCTTTGTTTGCGGTTTTTATATGTTTTTTTTTGTGTGGATCTAGCTTTTTTTTTACCGTAACGAACAATTTTCATAATTGATAATTCTTGATGTAACTGGGTTAATTCCATGGGATTTCAGATCTTTTTCTGGCTTTCGGCAAATTCTTTTCGGTGGCAAGTCTAATTTTTTCTTTCATGTTTTTGAAATTCTGTTTTTCGTTTTTTTTGGTCGTATACTATAGCAATTAGCGGATAGGGCCTTTCGCCTCGATTGCTCTTGTTGTATATGCAGTTTGTTTGGTGACAAGGTTTAATGAACAGTTTTCGAGTACATTTGGGATATTTTTGTATCTCAATTTTTTTATAGAAATGTTTTCTTATCGTTTTCATCTATTGGTTATCAGAAAGGAATGCATAAGCTCAGAATGGATAAGCCCAAGAAATGGATAAGAGTTAAGCCTCATTGCTTCTTTTGTTATGAAGGTAAATGATTTTTTTAACATTGAAAATAAAATTTTCTTGACGTTTTAGCCTACGATTTTTTCAACAAAATTCGTTCAAGTTTGAGACACATTATATTTTGATTTTTGGAGCTTTCTTGTGTATCACAAGTGGTGCGAAGCTCAGCTTCGCCTCTGTGTCAAAATTTCTTTTGATGTTTTAAGCTGTCATTACACTAACGAGCAGCTAGTGTATTAGTACGAACTTTCTTTTTTTTCTAATCTTTACTCTCAAATAAAAGTGTTCATTGAAAGTAGAAAAATATTCACTTATTTGGTGACACTTCTGCTGTAATCACGATATAGCATTAGAAATTTTGTAGCATCTGTTGTCTGCTTTGTTTTTCGCTAGTGTTTGTGATCAATTAAGCGTCAGTGGCTGAGTGGATTGTGCGTTAGACTCAAATCTCTAGGTCGCAGATCGAATCCGAGAAGTAGCCGCATTTTTACTAATTCGAGGCTTATTTCTACTTTTTCTTATTGCACTTTATAGAGCTGCTTTTTGACGTTTTCTCACTAGTGTTTGCGAAGCGAAGCTTCTTCTCTGTGAAAAAACACGCGAGCGTGAAAAAAAATTATCGACCTTTTCTCGTGTAAATTTTCATTTGTGAGACTATTCAAATTCAATTTATTTTTGCTTGCGTTTGCCGATTGGAAATTAGTAAACTAGTGAATTCTCGATTGTTGTTTTCACGCCAGCCTGGCCTTCAGTCGACCCAGCAGGCGTGCAATTTACGCCATTGGGCGCAGAAGGAGATTGCATTGTTGTTCCTAATGAACAATCTCAATCTTTAATGCATAATCCAAAGTGAGCTGTATCTGTTGTATTCTTCTACGGACGTTCTTTTATGCGTATTACCGAATGTCATTGTGAGGGTTGTGAAATATTCTAGTCAGTTTCAGCACTACTTATATCATTTAATTTATTCACTCACTAGGATTTTCGGCGACACGCATAAGTGGAAGTCTCCCCAATTTTTCTATTCTTCTCTCATTTTGTGCTCATTGATTACCCGTGAAACCCTGCAAAAGTTAAATTATTGTCGAAGGAATTCGGTGAGCATGTGCATTTACATCAACGATCAAAGTCCTACATGAGTTCCTACAAAGTAAACCATCAATTCGAATCGCCCTTTTTCTTGATTTTAACAAATTTTTGTATTTTTACAGAGTCAAGGATTGCTGATGATAAAGCAGTCAGACATGATGATCAATTTGCGTTGGCCAAATGCAACAACATTTTTGATACTCAAAGGAATCTACTGTGCAAATTGAACCTCTTACTCTATTCACGTCAATTTTAAATCTGTCAATTTCAAATGAATCCATTCATAGAGCCTCAGCTAGCTGGTGTGGAACGCTACCGGCTCCAAGATCCGAATCACGATACTTTTTGAATATCGTTTTCCAGTTGACCCGATGCTTTTGAATGACTAGATGCCTTGATATTTTGGGAAATGTTTACTATTTTTATAGAATCCTCCAATTAATATTCGTATCAGAGCTATTGTAAATGATCTTTCTTCATTCAATTGAATTTAAACAAAAGCTGTTCTAATCTAGTTTCTGATTGATGTCCTTATTTCACCACCAATAATTACACTGCGAAAGTATCTTGCTTAGTTGCGTTTGATTAATTACGATGAGCAGTCTTAAGAACGTTAGACATCGAAATCAGAAAATCGCTCTTCTGATCATAAAAAAAATACTTGAAGCGCGTATTGTAAAATTATGGTATTGAGTTAAAATAGAATATGAAATGAAATAGTAAGATTTAAAAATCACAGATTTGGCTGCATTGAAGCTCATTTAATGTCTCCAATCAAGAACGGATCTAAGAAGATTTTCTCGATGGGGATTTTAAGAAAATTGAAATTTCGTCGCTTTTTTTGAGTAGATCAAAAAGATTTTCCGGACTCCTCTATTTTGCCTAAATGTTGTGCGCCGCATGCAAATTTTCGCTCTCTCCCTCGAATTATTATACTGGCGCCGAAGACGCTTTAAGAAAATTTTTAGGGTCCTTCGACTTGAATGGGTCATGAAAGGGTACCACAGGGTGACCCGTTGTGTGGTAAGGTAGTCGAATTCTTAAAAAAAAGCCGTGCTCCCACCCCGCCTAAAACAGCTCCGTTTTCAAATGATGGTTAGATTTCAGAGGCGCAAAGGATCTTCAACGCACTTGCTGTGCAGAAATAAGCGGGGGGTTTTTGCCCTAATTTTCTTCGCGCGTTTATTACGATCAGCTGAATTTCTTGTATATATTTTTAAGAGTAATGAACGTAGTGAAGACTCGTATATAGGTTTTGCTGATTTTTTTTCAAGAAAAGTTTTATAAGTCTCTAATAACTACAGATGTGCATTCATACATATTGATGCGTTTATGAATGTACTTAAGTATAAATGCATTTGTGTTCAATTGAATTTCATCTGCTGAAAGTGACGTAAATAGCACTCTCCAAATACGAAAGTGGAAATGGCGCGTAAAATTATGAACGATTTCTAGTTTCGAATTTAATTTTAAGATTTACAGCGGAATAAAAACTTTACCTAGTGATCCAGTTGTCTCTTGTTGGGTTCATCTTATCAAAAAAGTGCTAATCATTAATTGTTCCAGAAATTCAAAGATTCAAAGGGTATCTATTTTGTTTTTTGAAATTCGAAAGGGAGATTTTTTCAGCTAAGTCAGTGATTTTTTGTTGACTTGAGTTCATTACTCTTTTCCAATCTTCGATTGGCTATGTTTCAGTTCAGTTCTTATTCTGCATATTTTACTACGTGATAACGTCCAACGTCCCTGCCTGGAAAGGTTCTGGTATCGAATCCGTTCAATACTTGGTATTCGTGCAAACTGGAAATTTTGCGCTGGAAAAAATTGTCGGCCCATCTATCTATATCTATCTATCTATACTATATTTAAATGCGAGTGACAGCTATCTCCCATGTTTAGGAATAATAATTTTGCATGTTTAACAAATGAATTTTTCATGTTTAAGCTATAGCATATATTGCAGTGCTTAAGAAAATTAAGAAAATTTTTCAATTAGCTTTCCGCTAAGTCATTAATTTTTCAGTTATTTTTTTCGAGGCCAAATTAAGTCTGTCTGTCAATCTGTCTGTATACCTTCTCTTTTAATTAATTTGATTATATCTGTCTACCCGTATCCTAATTTTTAAACTTTCTTCTATCTTCTATTATATATTTAAAGGCAAGGCTTCACTATCTCGCCATATTTAATAATAATAAAAAAAATATATTCAACGTATTGTTTTGCGCGTTTAACAAATGAATTATTTCAAGTGTAAGCTATATCGTATATTGCAATAGTTAAGTTTTTTTATGAAAGCAGTGAAGACATAGTTAGGTCGTGTTTTATCCGACCACAGAAAGCTGGGAGGAACCTTGTTTTCGGGTGTTCAAGTTTTTTTTTCTACTGTTTCTTTTCCAAAAAAGTATCGGGTACCACACATCATTGTTGGAAGAGATCAAGTGATGCATCATTTGAAAGCCCTTGCATGATTCGAACCTTCTTCAAAAGTTTATTAAAAAACATCCTCAATGTAATGAAAATCTGGAGCAGGCTTGTAAAACAGGCTTAAAATACGCCAATCAGACGAAAAACCTGCACCAGGCTTGTAGAGCAGGCTTATTATACGCAAATGAGACGAAAAAACGTAGCTCCTCAAGGAACAAGTTTTGAAGCTTCTTTTTAGCGCTTATTTCATAAAAGAAATTCTTCGGAATTAGAAATAATACAAAACTTTTTTTAAATTTAATATTTATAGAAATTTTTTTTAATTATGCGTATTCTCTAGGCTTTTATTCTTATCCGCTCATAGCCTAATGTCACAAAAAATTATTGCAATCTGCAAAAATAAATAGAAGTTTTTTTTGTGGCCAGAACTTTGTGAAACTTGCATAGCAACCGTCTATAATTTGTGCTACTTGCATAGCAACCGTCTATCCTTGAGCAAATCAGAAAATTAAAAGCACTCATGAGCCCATTTGTTTAATGAAATGTAAATTGCACTCTGCAGTCAGAGTTGCATGAAAAAACGTGTATCAGTTTTAGTTTGTAGCAGGATTTGATTAAAAGTCATGAACACAGTGAATGTTTTTTTTACCAGTTTTGGTGAATTTGTTCAGCCTCACTTTTATTTTATAGCAGTTGGACTTTTAATTTCTTGTTTAGTTCAGTTCATGTCCTGTGTTAAAAGGAACACAAAATCCACTATCGAACAGCAAAAGTATAAAGATAGCGAAATACATGATCGTCTTTTAATTTTGAAAATGCATTTTAATTATCAGATTTCCCAGCGAAATAGAAATTTTACCTATTAATCCGGTTCTCTCAAGTTGGATTATTTTTATCAAGAAAAGTGTGACTTATAAATTTTTCTCGAATTTTGAAGAGCTTTGATGCATTTGTTTTTTATTTGAAATTCTGTTGAAGTTTTTCCAAAAAAAATCTTTTTTTCTGTATTTTTGCTTTCATGACTCCTTTCTGACTAGTCAAGTTTTTCAACTGATAAATCTAAAAAGAAACTATTGCGAAGGTGTCCAAAAATGAAGAGTTTTGAAAAACAACCATTCTCAAGGTGATCAATTTTTCTTTGAAATCGATTAGATCTCCTTAAAAGTCAGTCATTTTTGTGGTTGCCTACATTTTTCCCTTACTCTTCTGCTTGTCTGTTTGTTTTGTGTTATGGTTCGTACCATCCTTATTCTTGAATTTTTGAAAGTTGTTTTTATCGTTATTCTTGAATTTAAAATTATTCTCATTTGAAAACATAAAAGGTTATTGGAACGGAATATCTTCATACAAAAGCCAATCATCGCTTTTTACTTAATGCAAGCGAATTTTTGTGTTAAATAGCCAGTTTTTGTCTTGGAATTTAAGTTGATAGTTTTTTTAAACTTGCGAGAGCAAGTTTCTTTTAATGGGGTCTTTGTTTCCCGTGATTAATTTTTCTTTTAAATCTTACTTGCTTTTCTTGCTTGCTTTATTATTGAACCTTAAAAACTTCCAGGCTCATTCCCAATTGTCCTAGAGGTAACGTAGTTGCCTTTGCTTCGTAAGGTCTGGCGTTCGAGACACGGTTGGATCCTGTTTGTTTCACAATGAATTTTCCGGTAAAAACTGAATTGTCGGACTTTCGTTTGTCTGCTCAAGTTTTGCCGACTCAGTTAACACATCACGAATTTTTCTCGTGCTGTAAGTGATTTTCCTTACTGCTGCAAATTCATCGCGTATAGCCGATTTGCCTCTGTGTGATCATTGTTCTTGATACCATCTTGCTTTTTTAAATATAAAAAAGAAATAAAAGCGTCAGCTCAAAAAATTACAGTTTTTCAAATATATTTTGGAGTATCGGAATTGAATACTTAAGCCCTTCTTAACGGCTTTCTCTTCAAAGTTTCGTATGCTTGCAGAAGTAAATGCATTTAACACCGTGCTAACATTTTTCACATAAAAATCGTTTTCACAGGACTTATCTCTTTAAGGACTCCCATCTCTGTTGCAATTTAACTGCAACCAGACGTAACTGGAGCATGTCTGCATTTTTGAATACTATTTGTTCTATTCGGAATTGGTTTGTTTTAAAATTAAATGTAAATTAAGTTGTAAAATTATCAACTCCAAGTTCCGGATTGTTTGTGTCTCGCTGGAGTTTTAGTCGCCTCAAATTGCTTTGTTTCGAGGGTGGCAACTGATCCTTTTGATTGTGTGCTTCGAAAGGACATATTAGATTATGGTTTCGGAATCGCTCGTGATGCGATTTGTAAGTAGAGCCTGTGTTATTAATTTATCATGGCTTAGTTAATATAAATAATTAACTTTCAGGATTGGCACCCGGGTCATTAATTCAAAAAAACATTGGCCATCCAAATGACGTGATTTTGAATTCCAAGTGATCATTTTTGAGTTTTTGACAATTATAACTGTGTAAGATATTATTCTCATGATTTTATGTTTATCTGCTTCCTTTTTTTGTCCATTTGTTTTTAAACACGAATTGCAGTTTGGTGCAAACCGAGAGTGGTTTTAGGGCGGAAAACACCGTCAGCCTTAATTACTATTTTATAACATCCGTTTTAAAATTCAACTGCTCCTTTGGTGCCAGTATACGCCACTTTTGAGGAGGCGTAAGTTGCGCGTTAAAAATGGTTAAAATAAAAAATATTTAAGTTAAAAATTGTTCAAAATTACCCGTTTTTTGTAGTTTACAGCTACAGAAATTTCTGAAAAAAAGTTTTTGTTGCTTTTTCTCTCAAATTTGCCTGCGCCGCCTGATTGTTATGGTTGAGCCCAGTTGGTCAAATTTTAAATCGTACCTTGTCTATTTCATTGTTCCAAAACTGGCGATTATCCCAGCGAATCGTTTTTAGTTTGATAGCATTTGCTCATTTAACTGCCGTGAAAGCGCTTCTTAATAATCAGAGAGCATTGGCATTTAACTTGCGTTGTTTGCTTTTTTATCTCTAACTTACATTTAACATGGACTAAATCCGATTTTCGTTTTTCAGATGGAAATTTTATTGCCC